CCAGCTCCCTTCCATCCCTAATCTCTTTTACTTTTGATTAGCACCTAATACCTATAGGAGTGAAACTTTCCATGTGCTTGGTGACCGAGGTCCCTCAGCCGTCAGCCCGGAAGAGATCAGCAGTAGCACAAACATCCATGCCTCTGGAAGGAGAACGCTGCTCCCTCTACCTTCCCTCCTTGACCTGTGTTTCCCCTGGAAACCTGGTGGCTGCTGTTAGCCGGACACCTCAGAGGTGGGTGCCCCAGGACATCCCAGAAGGAGAGCTGTCCTAGGAGTCTGCCTGCTGTTTCTGCCCCACAGGCTGTGCCTGACATGGAGAAAGCTGTCAGCAGCTCTGACGGATGAAGAGCAGGGAAACCAGCTGCTTGGCAGGCGGTCGCCTGTAAGGGAAGAGACCACTGCCTCTTTGCAGAGATCTGTGCTGGCCATGTGCCTGGCTGAAAGAGTGGAAGTGAGTAATACTGCAACGGAGGGAGGCTGTACAACTGAATGAATGTGAAGCCCTGCGACTTTAAATGTCCCAGAACGTAGTCCTTGAGGTCTCAACCTCCTCTGCCTCTTCAATGCCTCTTCCCTGAGCAGGTGGAGGCATGGAAAGTGGTAGCACAAGCTGCCCACTCTCCTGATCTGGAGCTGCCCCATCTGTTTTCCATCCTTGCCCTTGCCCTTAGGACAGCCGCACCAGGGAGAGAACTTACAGCAATGCAGATCCCTGGGAAGTGGACAAACTCCAGCCATATATATTAAGATCCACCAGATGGTTAGAGCTTGCTAATGCCTTCTGGCCAGGTCTGTACTGATGTGGTGAGCTCAGGTCTGTTCCCTGAGGCCCTTCAAGCAAGCCAGTGCCCATCTGCCCAGTGTGAACTGTCTCTGAAGGTTTGGAGGGGAGAAGCTCTGTTTTGTATTCCCTGACCATGAGCCAGCCGCTTGGCGTGACTTGGGGCTGGATTGGGACTGACAAACTGAGATGGAAAGACGCCCTTTGCCATTGATTTCTGTGGCCCGGGGTAGGATGGTGTTACTCAACTCAGTCTACAAGTCCCAGAGCTCATCTGCCTAGAATAGAACCAAATAAACAAATTAATTCAAAGCAAATCTGCCTCCCCCACTGTGACACACGCTGGAATGCTTTGCCAACAGGATCCCAGTAGGATGGCTTTTCCTCAAGTGTTGCAAGCCATGGTGTAATGTTCCTCCTCCGTTTTTCCTTTGTGAAGTTGGCAGTGCCCCTCGCAGTAAGCACATGTAATCCACTTTTCTTTGTAACTGAAATGCTAATGATTATTTTATTTAAAGCCCTTCATATGTTCTTTTTTTTTTTTTTTTTTTCTCTTTACAAAATCTGATGATCCTGGGAATGGCAGGAGTTGTCCGTAAAGCCAAGGGGTGGAATTCCTGCAGGCAGGCAATGGGTAGCACCAAGCCAAGCCCTGCTACTTGCACGTAGCATGCCCCCTTCCTCAAGGATAGGTATGATGTATTTTCAAGCACAAGAGCTGATATTTCCCTGTCTTGTGCCACCAGCCACCTTCACCCAGCAACTCTTCAAAACTCAGGGCTCAAGTTGCACTCCAGTGACCAGCATTAGGACAGTAAGTGTTGCTGGGCTGGGGAACTCTCACCTCTTTTCCTTGGGGTGCTTCCATCTATGCAGTAAAAGACCTTGGAACCCCAGCCACGTTCACCCGTAGGACTATGCTTGGGGTCTCTCACCAGAGATCAGAGAACAAATGTGCCTGAACTTCCAGGGCTTGATAGCTCTCACCTGGCCTCCCTAGAGCTCCATACAGCTTTTTCTTTGTCACTAACAAAACCAGCAGGAGCACACCAGGTAATGAAGCAGTAGGTAACAGGCATCAGAAGTTCCTTTGCTGGCAGCAGGGCTGGATTAGTAGCTCAGAAATGTGTGGGCAGGTCATGCCTGGTCCCCATGGCCATCAGAGGTAGGTGGTACTCTGCAGAATCTCAGGAGAGCTTCTGAAAGAGGCTGATAGGGACTGAGGTAGGACTGAAACAAAGTTTGCTTCTCTGCAGTTATTGTGGTTGGCCTTGCTTATTATTGAAAAACAAGCACTGTTTGCTGTCCTCATCTCAGTTTAGATCTTGATTTTAACAAGACAACAAATATTTTTATCAACAGGTAATAATTTCATTATCCGTCTGTGCTCTTTGACCAATTCCACTTGCTCTGTCTCCATCCCTGAATGACCTGTAGCCAGACTCTACTCCAAACAGCGTATGCATGGGTTACCTGCGCTGCTGCTTCTCCGGACTCCTGTTCATGCCTCCTCCCAGCAGCTCAGCCACTCATTTTCAAGGTTTTCCTGTGTTAGAAACAATTAGGTAATCAATATCCAGACTGGGGATTTCTGTCTCTGGCATAAAACCGTTCATTCTTGGATTCCTATAGCTCAAGGCCAGAAACTACCAATAGATCAATAGATAATCTAAAATTGCCTCCAGGACAGCACAGATTATGCATCTTTATTTAGTTATATTTGCACTGTTCCAGTGATATCTCATTTCCCAGCAGGACACTTTCCTCTCCTGAAGCAACGGTATCGAGAGTTGGGTAATCTGCTACTGGGGTGTTTTTTGCAGAAGGAAAACAGCTATACTGCTGTGTGTGGGTGTGATTTCTAGTAGGGAATCATTTGGCTTTGGTTTGCAGATGTTGTTTCGTGGTTTGCCTTTCTTGGTTAGATTACGAGGCTCTTTACACCTGGTGTTTTGTTCTTGTGGAGAAACCTGTGCCCTGTAATCAGAGCACCTCTTCATCTTCTTTTTGCTAAATTGAAGAGATATTGAATACTTTAGGTTTCTTACAGAAAGGCATTTTTACCAGCCCTCAAATTACTTTTGTCATGTTTCTTCTTGTATCCTCTCCAGTTTTTCAACATGCCTTAGATGATGTGACATATTTCACATCAGAACTAGATGTGATATTTTAGTGTACATACTCCCTGCTGTGATGAGGATGTGTAGGGAGGAAAAAATACCTCCCTGTTCCTGCACTGTTTCACTGCCCTGATGTCAGGGCATTGAACTGACAGTTCATATTTAATTGCTTGTCATTACCCCTGAAATCTTTTCAGAATTGTTGGTTTCCAGGATCATCTCCTTCTATCTGCAGCTGCTGCCTGCATTCCTTCTTCCTAGAAGCGTGATTCTGCATTTGACTCTATTAAAATCCCGTATTGCTTGGATGGATTTGCCCTCCACAGTGATCCAAACTGCTCTGTGTGATTGCTCTGTTCTCATCACAATACACCACATCATTGCAAATTTTTGTGTCAGCAGCACACATTATCAATGTCGATCGTATGTTTATTTCGAAATAAAAATATTTATTTCCAGATGAAATCCTTGAATCGTGCCAGGCCTCGTACTGGTCACCCTGGAACCCATCTAATTCCCTCCCCAGCGACAACTGCTTCTTGTGTTCTGTCACGCAGCCAGTTTGTTATTCATTTCACATGTGCCTGATTGACATCGTACTGCCCTGTTTATTTTTTTATTGGAATAGCCTGTCGGTGTGCATGTATGTAATTCTAGTGAATGATGAAAACGGACTCCTTAGACAAGAGTGGTTCTCCATACACCCCGTTGACTTGACCTCACTTCTGTATTCCTTTCCTTTAGTTCCCAATTAATTGACCTGTTTGTCGTCTTTTCCATTCTGTTGTTCAGGGCTGATTTTGGGCTCGCTGGCTGACAGTTACCTTGTGTATCGCGCTTGACCTGTTTGGATACCAGCACAGCATTAGCTCCCTTTCCATCTCCCCAAATCTTAGCGTTATTCCAAGCTATCCAAGCCAGGAATGTCAGTGAGCCAGAGCTGCTGTCAGCCAACTCTTTTTGGGTCATCCAGTTCTGTTGGGTTTAGAAACACCTCCCCTGTGCCGACTGTGACAGGGAAAATGGTGACAACCATAAAGTGGGATGGACCTCTCTGGGCACTTTGGTGGGACAGCTTGTTTGCCCCAGCCTTTTGGTCAGAGGTGGAGGTATTGGACAGGGTATGCAGAAGATCTGTTGGTGCTTAAGTTCAGTTGCAGAGGAATCCAAGGCATGGACTTTCAAAGAAATTCAAGGGACATATGGACAGCCAACCTATTTTGGCCCCTGGTGTACTAAAGCCTTTTTCCTTGCAGGTGGTGCAGGCGAGAGGGAGGGAGACATTTGCTGGTAAGCACAGGGCACCCTCTTGGAGGCTTGGTGCTGCCAGTCAGTAAAAAGGAACGGGAGCCAGTGCAGTAGAGCAAGATGTGCTGTTCTGTCAGTTTAATGCAAAGAGCTCTGCCTAGTGGTCTGCATGGCTTTATCACAGAGTGTGAGAAGTGTGACCTTGTGAGCTGGATGGCTGCTCCATGTTTAGTCCCCAGAAAACACCAAAAGCCATAAATGCAATTACTGCAGAAAGTTGTAACTGCACTTACAGGAGTGAATTCTTGGTCATTGTCTCTTGTTTGTGACTCTCGTGGGCCAAGTTTTGTTTATTTGCTTGGCCTGGCTTCTCTTCTGACTGCCTCTTTGGTTTTTCACTGCTCATTTGGGGCTGGGAAGGCAGGTCCTGAGAAAGCTCCCACCATAAAACTGAACTGATTTGGAGCTGCTTGTGTTTGCTGGGGGAAGGATGGGGCAAGGAGCAGCCCTCGAGCGTGATGGGCAGACAGAAGTGCTGCAAGGCAGCCGGGGTGTCCCTGTGGTGGGGCAGCCTGACATGACGGTACAGGGAGAGTATCTTGGTGAGCACGATGCCCTGCCAGGCTCAGGGCATGGGGCGCAGTCCCTAGACTAAAATGGTGCCATCGTGATGACTGAAAGCAAGTGAGGAGTGGGACCCTGCTCAGGTAGGCAGAGCTCTGTGTCCAGGTGGGGGCTCAGGCAGCTCGGCGGTGAAGGTTGCCACAGGGCATCCTGGTGGACAGGCACTGTGGGTTGATGCAGTTACCTGTGAGGAGTATCATCGGTTCATTTTTTCTCTTCCACAGGACTCGGAGCAGAATTGGCTCTCCTGTCTCCCCCCAGCACACAGGGCCATCACGGACTGTCCGGCGCTACCCAGCCAGCAATGGCCAACTCACCTCTAATGCACTCCCCAATGGGAATGGACATGAGCAGAGCAGCTCTGGGCCACACGCGGTTTCCCAGGAGCATACCTTGTCTGCAAGGGGTAAGGCCTCCAGGGCTGTCACTCTTTTGGGGCTTCTTGTTGGGGTGTCCTGGTAAAGGGCAATGGTGTGACTGGGGATCCTCAAGAAGCCCTGGACTCCCAGGGCTGTACTGCTGGGTGGGATGGAAAGAGAAGGTCAGCACAGGCATTGCTGGGCTTGGTGAAGAAAGAGACCCTACCGAAGGAGGACAGATCAGGGGAGCAAAATGCTGATGGCAGGGGAGAGGAGCCAGTGAGATGTGAGAGATGCCTCCCAGAGGTGTTGAACATCACCCCAGCACTGCTGCCCTGAAGGGGGATTGCCTCAGTCTGTAGGAACGGTGTCTCCCAACTTCCTCCTCAGTTTCAGCAGCCCTTGAGGTCAGATTGTGCAACCAGCGTCTAGTTCTTCCCTTTGGCTGCCCCCTTGGTGCCTTCTGACATGAGCAGGGATCAGGCCAGGCTGCCGGGACATGCAGTTGCTAAGGCAGAGCCTCAGCAGCTCCCCAGCTGGGACAGATGCAAGTTGTCTTCTGCAGCTTGGCTCCCCCTGAAGCCGTGCTTCCCCAGGGAGGCACCATGTGGCATCTCAGCCCTTATGAGTAGGGCTGTGAGCCTGACTGAAGCTGTAATCTGAAAGTGGGGATTGAAATGGGGGGAGTCGGGGATGAGCGCACCAAGGGGGACACCCGCAGAAACAGCTGTCTTGCTGGGCAGGGATGAGGGGCTATGGTGTCAAGCCAGCTGGTTCATGGTTACACAATAGTGCTGCCTGTTGTCCATTCTCCCCAAGCCCCCAAAAGCTCTGAGTGCCATTTCCCCCCGTATCTAATGTGAGGATGGTGAGGGACCAGGAGGGGACCGCAGGATGTTGGAGGACACTTGCAGGGAGATACTGGTTTTCTCAAGCCCTGATGCTCTTTTTGATGGATACCAGTGTGGCTGTTCGTGTGGGAAGCCCTCCAGTGGTTTAAGGGCAGCCAGTCTCCTGGCTACTGACATGGCTTGAGAAGGAATATTGTCTAAAGCAGAAAACCACTCTTTATACTGGAGTTAGTGCATGTGTGTCCCTTCACAGAGAGTTATGCCACTACAGCTGGGCAGGCAGAACATGCTGCTGGCCATTTTTCATGTGTTGACAAATCCTTACTGATGCTGGAGCAGAGGACAGGCTGGAGTGAGTGAGGGGTAAAGAGAGGCACTGCCCCAAGGAGAGGCACAGACCCCTCCTTGCTCTGGGAATGCTTTGGAGCTTGAACTGCAGATCATCAGCCCCCTGGCCTGGAGATGCTGTTTCCACTTAGCGCTGTCCTTTTCTTTCATAGGGGCAAACCTGACAGAGAAGATTAGGAAGATAAAAATCGTCTTCACACCCACCATCTGCAAACAGACATGCCGGAGCGGGCGCTGCTACAACAGCTGTGAGAAAGGAGACACCACCACTCTCTATAGCCAAGGGGGACATGACCACGATCCCAAGTCCGGCTTCCGCATCTGTGAGCACCCTGAGGCCCCCAGCCCATCTTCTTGCCTGCTCCCCAACTCTGCTCCTTCTGCCTTTCTGGCTTCTACAGACTGAGGGCTTGGGCTGCTATAGGGATGGGAGGAGATGGCCTCTCCCAGTGCCTTGGAAGATGTCTCCTGGGGTCTTTGGGGCTTACTCTATCTCTGTCTCTGGGGGAGGAAGACAGACCATGCCTCATTGCTCTCTTTCCTGGGCAAGCAACTTCTGTTTCCATCCCACCCCAGGTAGGGGGGACGCGTGTGTTTGAGTCAGGCCTGCAGCCAAGCCTCACCACCCCCTCCTTCTCAGAGCCAGCTCACTGCTTTCGTTGGCATCCAGTCTTGGGACTGGCTTTCATCACCTAATTTCCTCCTGTTCTCTCCTTTCACTCACGTGGCAGCCAGGAGAGCTGGCTGCAGGTTGCAAGCTGTTCATATAAACAGGGCTGCTGAAACCTCTGCTTGCCTTTCAGAGCTGCTGGGATTGCTCATCAGGTCACTGGGGTACCCAACTGTGGGTTGGGCACATCCTCCTGGAGCCAGTTGGTGGGAGCAACCCACAGGGCCTGGTGGGACTCGTCCTCTGAAAGCCTCTGTAACTCTCAAGTTCCTGTAACACTGAGAGAGTGCAAAGTCTGGCTGTTGTGGACACTAACTGATACAGGGTTCATGGGAATTTCTGCCTAGATCCCAGTCCAAAGTTGTGTCTCCTCCCTCCAAAACTGGTTGCTGGGGTTGAGCAAATGAACTCGAAGCAGGGTGGGAGCTCATCCCCTGGGATGAACCTAAGAAGCCATCCTGCGATGTGCAGCAGCACCGTCTCATCTCATGCTGAAATGAGTCAGGATGATCTGTCAGGAAATCCCGTGCCTTGCCTGAGCGTTGCTCACACTGAGAGACGCTCTGGATTGCTCCAAGCATCTGATGAGGCCAGAAAAGACATGACTTAGGTTTCATCTGTGGATGCTTTTTCCGAGTCTGTGCAGACAAATTGCTCCTGATTCTTTTGTCCCACTCCAAGCTTCTCCCACTTGAGCAGCTGGCAGGGCCAGGGCTGGCTGGGAGACAGGCTCTGAGGACGTGGCTCTCTGCCCGTCCTTCTGCCTCTCCCGTCCCCACTGAGCTCCCTTCTGGGCTGGGAGTAAAAACCCTGCCAAGTGGGGAGGGGGCGATGCAGAAGAGAAGGAATTGTGCTGACTGTGCCGTATGTGGCTGCTGTAGCTCCTGCCCCACTCTGAGGGATCCTGCTGTGCCAGCAACACCACCTTGGCCCTGGGGGGGTTGCCCCACAGGGCACGGGTGCCCCAGGCTGGCCATGGCCTCAGAGCCCAAGGGAGGGCTCATCATCTTCCACCCATGACTCCAACCCTGAGCAGAGCTCAGGGAGGACCCTGGCTTCTCCACCTGCTGCCTGCTGGATGGTGGTGCACAGCAGGGACCCTGGGCTGCCTTCAGGCTGCAAGTCCTGAACCCAGCCCCGTGCTGGGTCTGCTCCTTGGGCACCACAGGGCTAGTGCTGGCCCAGATCCAGCTGCCTGGCCTCCCCCAGCCACCCCTTGGCGAGAGGCAGTGGCTCAGTTTCCCTGCTAAGCAGACCTCTCTTTGCCTTGCAGACTTTTGCCAGATCCCCTGCCTGAATGGAGGGCGCTGCGTGGGCCGGGATGAGTGCTGGTGCCCCTCCAACTCCACGGGGAAGTTTTGCCACCTGCCAGCTCCCTCTCTGGAAAAGAAGCAAGGAGGGAGAGCCCCAAAGACCCTGGCCATTGGCTCCATGAAGCACTCCACCTACACCCTGCCCTTGTCGAACCAGCTGGGTGAGCGTGGTCGGGGGCTCCAGACCCTGCATTTCCCTTGTACTTCTGAGTCCTCCTACTTGAGTGCTCCTCAGATCTTCGTTAACAGGCCCGAGGAGGCCACTACCTCCTTATGCTTGGCTTTTCAGGCCAGCTTGTTAGAAAGGTGGTTCCCTTAGTTTCTGAAGGGCTCAGGTTGATGGGGAAAGTTTTTGGTAGGTTTGTCCTGTTTTGGGGCCAGAGAAGTAGTTTCTCTTAGATGCAGTCTTCCTCTAGATTTCCTGGTGGGGTCAATCTACCTCTCCTCCCTTGTGACTTTGTTGATGACAAGATGCTCTTCGGGTGCCAAATTGTTGCCAGATTGTCACAACTGTGGTATAAACTCATCTTCCAGCTTCCCTAAACCCTTCCCTGGTGAACGTCCACATCAACCACCCTCCAGAAGCCACCGTGCAGATTCACCAGGTGGCCAGGGTGCGGGGTGACACAGAGGTGTCGGAGGAGAACAGCGTGGAGGCGGTCCTGGTGCCTCAGCTGGCTGCCGTGCCCTGGTACACCTACACCCATGGGAACGGCAACAGCATTGCTACAGAGAGTGGCCAGCAGCAGCAGCAGAGAGCCCCAGGGCTGCTGGGGAGGTGCTTTCGGGAGGCTCTCCATGGGCAGGTAAGAGGTCAGCCATCAAGTGTTCGATCATGTGTGTGGATACACGTTTCTTGTTCTGGGGTACGGGTGCGTTGGCTTATGGGTCAGGGAGGGTGGCCTTTCATTGCGTGAAGCTCTTCAGCGTCAGCATGGGCATCACCCAGGTGCCACAGGCACAGGCAGCAATGTGTTAGTACTTGGGAAGAAAATCAAATCCCTTGTTTTGGCCCAACAGGGAGACCTTGCTGCCTTGCCCTGACCAGGCTGTGCCCTGGGGCAGCACAGCCCAGACTTGATGGCTTTCACACACAGTCTCGTTTAAAAAGGGTGCCCTATTTATAGCAACATTTAGACCCACGCTCTCTGATTATTGTAGGAAACGTATAAAACATAGGAAAATTCCTTTCCCTCTCAGACGATAAATGAAAGTCTGATTTCCATGGAACGATGCCTGCCCGGGCAGCTCAGTCAGGGTTGGGAAGCAAATGCACGTGAAGGGCTTTCTCACCCCTGTCCCGCAGTCATCGTAATTTCTTATTTTGTCTTTCCCCATATGTTTCTCTTGCGTCACTGGAAAAGCATCGGAGGTTTTTGGCACCCACAGGAGCACCTGTGAGCTGCCCCGGAGCAGCTCACGCTCAGTGAGACTCCCTGGCTGGGCAGCCTGGGAATCAGCCCCCTCCCCACTGCTCCCCAGCCCTTTCTGGGGGGCTGCTCCCAGTTCCCATCTGTCCTTCAGTCGCTCCCATCAGAGCAGGATGCATTCTCAGCCATTCCCTAGTGCAAAAATAAATGAAATCAAACCCTGGGGCTGGAAAAGCCCCGCTCCTCCGTGGGGAGACAGCGGCTCTCTGTGCCTGGGAGCAAATAATGATGCACAGAGATGCTTGTGGATGCCCAGAGAGGCTGCAGGAGACGCTCTGGGGGGGGCGAGGGGGGCAGTAGGGGGTACCCTTGCTGTGCGCACACCTCACCCAGCTGGGGTGATGCCATGCCCGGGAGAGGGTGAGGAGCCCGGCGGGGAGCACTTGCCTCTCCCCGCTCAGCCGCAGCCGAGCCGATCGGTATGCGAGTGCTGGGCAGGCGGCCACGCACGCCTGGACAAGGGCCAGCTCCGGCCTGTGGGCCGGCGGCTCCGCTCTAATGGGGAAGCCTGTAATCCAGAGGGCCTTGCCGGGGGGGCAAGTGGGGTGGGAAAGAGAGACTCATTAAGCAGAGCAAAGTGCCTGACCGCAAGCTCCCTGCCGGGCTGGAGTAGTGCACCCATGTCGCTGGCTAATCAGCGAGGCATGGGGCTGATCCGAGGGCTTTGCCCAGTGATATCATCTCTGGTTCATCTCCTCCTCTGTTTGATGTCCCCTTCCCCTCTGAGGGGTGCAGTCGAGGGAGCCTCGTGTTTTTCTGTCTGCACAACTGTTTACTGTCTTAAACCACATCCCTGGTCCCACAGTGCCCTGGTGAGGAGCTGTGCCAGGAGGGCTGTGCCAGCCTCTGACCGCAAACCGTCATCCCCTGTGCTGGCTCTGCCGCTGCCCGCCAGCCGGCCACAGCGGACGGGCACATGTCCTCTCCCTGTCCCACAGAAGCCTGATCCTCTGGTCCTCTCTCTGCAGTGCACCAACCCCCTGCCTGGGCTGACCAAGCTGGAAGACTGCTGCGGCAGCGTGGGGCTCTTCTGGGGTGTGGACCGGTGCCTGGCCTGTCCCCCTCGGCCAGGTGAGTGCTGCTGCTGCTGGGGACGGTGCAAGGTATGGCCCGCACCCTCGGCAAGCAAAAATGGTCGGGCTGCCTTGCATGGCCGAGGAGGCATGGAGCAGAGCCACAGGTCCCCGGCCGTGTGGCTCTCCTTTGCCCAAGGCCCTTGGGGACAGGCACTGTGTCCAGGGTGACATGTGGGGCCATGCCTGCTCCACTGCTGCCCCAAGGAGTGCTCTGGTTTGGGTGCTGGCCCCAGGCTCAGTGCTTTCTCCCCAGACTGCCCCGTGAAACCCTGGTGCAGGCGGTGGTTGCTGCCATGCCAGCCCCGCTCGGAGGGAGAAACAGGAAAAGAGCGGCCGTGGTTTTAGGAGGTGCAGTCTTAGATCGGTGGAGGAGACTGCAGACTCGGCCCTATAGAGTTACGGGCTTGCTCTGGGCCCGACACGGGCTTGGCAGGGGCTCTGGAAATAACACTACATCAAACAATTGGCAGGAGCGCACCCGGGGTCCGTTCCAGGGGCATGGGCGTCCAGCCCTGTTTCTGCTGCGCTCAGGAGCCGGACGGGCTGATCCAGTGGGAGACGGGGATTCCTCGGCCGCTTCATTCAGGGTGCTCCATGACAGGCATGGCCCCTTGCGCCACAGCCCCCCTCCTGCATTGCAGTGGAGAGGCTGTGCTGAGGGACTCCTGGCTGGAGGAAGGCAGCCCCCCAGGCAGCTGGTGCTGAGCAGGTCCACTGCAAGGCAAGGTGCACTTGTCCAAAGCAACATGGGCAGGGAGCTGCTCACCTCTCCCCTGCCTGCCTGCCTGCCCCCTTTCATCACTGCCTGGCTGCTTGTTCACATGCCTTCACTGGATTGGAGAACTAAAATAAACAGACCCCACGGTCCAGGAGACTTTGACTCATGAGGAGAGAGGAGGTGTTCAAGGTGACAGCTTTTGTGCAAGCAAGTGTGGTGTTGGTGCCTTCTAGCTCTGCCCAGAGGCTGTCCCGCTCGCTCGCACGAACGCTCCCAAGAGCTGTTTGCATCTCGTTGTCCTCCCTCAATTCAGTTCCGCCACAGCCAGGGGTAGGGCCGTCTGGAGCCAAATTCCTCGCAATCACAGACGAGGTTGTCAGCATCCTGGAACCCAGCGCAGATCTGGGGAGCTCTGATTGCTGTCATCTTCCTGCTCTGCACGGCTCTCCTGTGGCCCTGGGCCACGCTGCTCCTTGCCTGCCCTCGTCCATGTGCCAGCCCCAAGGGAGCCTTGGCTACGTGCAGTATGTGGGTGACCACAGGGTCTCCAGGTTCAGCACAAACAAGGAAATGCCCCACATGGGCCTCAGCCCCCTCCTCTTTGTCTCCAACTTTTGCATCCTCCGTCACAGCTTTCTCCTCCCCATCTCACAGCAGTCTCCCTGTTTCTTGCCCTGTCTCTCTGTGATCTCCCCATTAGGAAGCAGGGGGGCCACTTAACACTTCGGTTAGGCTGCAGATGGCTGCAAAATCTCTGCACCTCCTTTCTCTTTCTCCGTGCCAGGATGCTAGGTATCACTCAGCAGCCAGAGCTGTCGCAGTGATTGCTCTGCTGGACTTAGATCTTCAGGCTTCAAAACGTGTATCTGATCACAGGCTTCCAAGACATGAAAACAGGCATGAAATACCCCCATGTGCTTCCTACAGTCAGCCAGCCAGTAGAGCAAATGCACTTAAGAAATGCCTCCTAGCTGCCAGCGGGTCCTGCTTCCACAGCTCAGCACATGCCTTGTGTCCCAGCAGCAGCTGAAACTCAAGGGAGGTTGTTGCTGCTGGTCTTCATTGAGTGGACAGATGCTTGTCTGGCTTTTTTTCAGATTAATTCCATGGGGATATGAAAAAATGTATCCCTGTGGGTCTTCCGTCTTCCTGTGCCACAAGCAAATCCCATTCTCAGTCCCCCTGGCTTTGGGTGATAAAGTTCCCCCTTGGAGACCAAATGGCTCTTGTTGATTTTGGCAGGAAATCAGGCTAGTTGAAAGGGCAGTTTTCATCCTCTTTAATCGTGTGCAAGTATCTTCCTCCTTCGGCTACCTCTGATTGACTGCCCGGTAACCAGCCCCACATGCAGGAGACCACACAGTGCAAGTGAAGGGAGCTGTAAGGCAGACCCTCAATGGAGGCAGCCTAAGAGAGCCCAGCTCTTGTGCAGTGAGAAGCCCAGGTGGCTGGCATGCTTTTGTCTGGTGTGCTGTCTTCGCAGACAAGAGATCCCACCCCAGAGTGGAGCCAGGGAAACAGTCCTTTCTCCATGATCTTACTGCTGTAACAGAGCTACCGAGCACTGTGACCTCTCATTGCCCCACACCTCCTCTGCCAGGGCTCCCAGGTCCATGCCTGTCCGGTGTGCAGGCATCGCTCTGCATCGTTCCTGACTGTAGACCACATCCTACACTCACATCCCTTCTGTCTCCTGGTCTTGCTGGCCTGCGTTGTGCTCACTCAAAGTCACTGGGCTATAGTTCAGTGACCTGGTGTCTCGTGCACAGAGATAACGTGTCCAGTGGATGTTTCCAGCTTTCTTCTTGGCACTGTGGTCTTCGGAGAGAACTTCTCTTTGCGCTCGTGTGTCCTGGGGAAGCGTGCACCAGAGCAGACTTGACAGCACTGGGAATTTAATTCCAGCAACCAGAGACAGAAATGGCAGAAGCTAGTTCAGTGTAAACACTTACAAACGTACAGAAGTGCAGCCAGGCAAGAGCTAGACAAATGGAGAACTTGTTTGGATTGACTGTCTGCCCGAGACACTGATTGTTAGTAGAGTCTGGATACGTCCGGATGTCTCTGTCGACTGCAGCTTTCATGTTTGGTACGTGTTTGTGTGCGGAAAGACATCAGAGAAGAAGAAGAATCGGAGGCAGGCATCTGTCCGAGCGAACCTGCCGTGACCAATCCCTGCTATTTTTTGTGTTTTGCCCAGCATCAGAAAAGCTAAGGCACTTGAATGCTTTGCCTGCATCCTAAGGAGACTATGTTAAAGGCTGAGTTCAGAATTAAGGTAGAGGTGGGGTTGACCTGGCCAGGACTCTCTGTAGCGGGTGTTACATGAGTCTCAGAGGTTTCCTTAGGCTCTGCTCAGGCTTTTGGCTGTCTGGTTTGCTGCTGGGAGGGTGTATATTGTTAGTCCCCTTCAGAGAAGTGGGCACAGAGATGGGTATTCAAGCAGGCTATAGTAGAAGTCACTGGGAGTTTGCTGTTGCTCATGTAAGTGAGAGTTGAAGATGGCATCCTCAGGGACAACCCTGGGAGAACGGGGAGAGCTGAGACCTTGCTCTGTGAGCTGTTGGGGCAAAGGCTGTCACCCAACCCACGAAAGAAAGACATGAGCCAGAGGCAGGGACCTGGAGAGTGGCAGGACACCTGCACGCTGTCGTGCAGCTGCAGTCCTTCAGCTCTGGCTGGAGACAGCTGGATGAAATGTGCTGCACTGCAAGGTAGGATAAATCAGATAGAGACATCCAATGACCCCTCTGGGTCTTTTAGTACTCGGAGGAGGTGCTGGAGCACACACTGAAAAGCTAGAATGGAGAGGCAGGAGGATACGGGAGCTGGAAGGTAAAACTTGAAGACTGATAGAGGGAAAAGGGAATCAGAGGGTGAGGAAGCAGCTGATGTAGAGACACTTGGACATGGCTGGGAGGAAGCCCCAGGACCGGCAGGGTATTTGAGCGGTGCTGGTGAGGAGGCTGCACTGAAGCAATGTCCTGTTGCCTGGCAAGCTCAGGATGCAGGGACAGTAGCAGGCACACTGCTGGGCAGAGCTACTCCTGCTTACCTGCCAGACCATACACTATTTTGGGGTATACAGTGGTCTGTAGAGAACAACATGCTGGAACAAGGTCAAGAGATGATCCGTAGAAACTAAACCAAACAAGACCCAAGCTGCAGGTTGACGCAGACCCCAGGGAGGGTGTGGATTTGAACACTGGTTTCCCTGAAGCCTTGGCCCTCCTCAGACACATGGGGATAAAGGAAACTGCTAGTGGAGAGTTTTTTCTGAAGGCAAGGTGAGGTGATCTGCCCAGAGGGGGGGTCACACTCTTCCACCTCCTCCCTGTCCCTGAGACCACACAGCTCTGCAACCAGCAGCGCTCCAGGAGAAGCCCATACCAGTGATGGACACCCTCTCCTCTACCACACAGGAGCTACAAGTCTCACCTTTCTGCAGGGGTTTGGGGGACTTTCTGGCTGCAGCAGTAAACCTGCATCTTCGAGGTCCTGGTTTTTCACTGCCTGCTGTCCCTTATTTCAGGCTGCAGTCAGCCTGAGCGTGGGCTGGGCTGTGCACCCACCGGTTGTGCTCACTGCAGATCTTCCTGGGCTGCTTTCTCTCCTGCCCATGAGTTTTAACTGCATTAAGAAACAAGTCTTTGAAGGCTATTGTTTTGTTTTTATTCCCGCTCCCTGTGTTTTTTCAAGTTTTTTGTCCTGGAGAAAAGTCTGAATTTCACTGGAAAGTTGGATCTTGTAATGTCTGGTTTGGCGTCCGCAGCACTCCCCAAACAGACCTCCCACCGTGAGAGGGGTGGCAGCTCACCCATGGAGCCGTCGTCATCAGAAACGCCGAGCGGCTCCACAAGCCACAAGCTCCCCTGCGCTGTGCCGGCAGGCATTGAAACAGCCACAGGAAGCCCCTTGCAAATCAACCCCCTGGTCTGCTCGTGTGATCAGATCAGGGAGGATACAGGGAAAAAAAACCTGGAAATATGGGAAGGAGGCTACAGAGAGGGCTGGTTCTGCCACTGCTACACCATGTGCCACAGGGAGCCTGTCTGAGACAGTAAAGAAGGGCTGGTTTCTCAGAGAGATAATGCCTTTTGTATGATAAATGGAAAGAGTTGAAAGAAATGGGCTAGCTTTCAGCAGCCAAGCATTTCCTCACTTCTCATCTGACCGCAGGCTTCCTCTTCCCCTTTGAACAATGTGATATTGGCTGGCCTAAGGCAATGTATTATCTCACCGTACAAACCTTGCCTTGCTCAAGCCCTTGTGGCTACCACCACTGGAAGTGGTTTCTTTCCACTTCACCATCAGCCTGAGCTTCTTCATCCCATCTTCAGACAGCGTTTGGGGAGCCAGGGCACTTTGGTAAAGCCTCTTCTCCTGGGAAGTGGTGGACAACTTCTGAAGTGTGCCTGGCTGCTTAAAGATTGTCCTACTAGGCTGCAAAACCTCTCTGCCCGATTTCTGTGCATTCATTTCCCGTCTCATTCTGCTGTGCTCAAGTATTGTTCTAGCTAGGGACAAAGGTGCTGGTGAGAGTCCTGGGCTGTGGCTGCTTCGTGCTCACCTCCTCCTTTCTGGATCTGTGAGCTTATTGCATGCATGGTCCCCTGTGAGAGCCTGGCCCTGCCAGGGATGCCCAGTGCCTGCAGAGCTTGCAGAAAGCAGCACCGGGCGATGGGATGAAGCAGAGCTGGAGGGAGCAATGAGGAGAGCTGAGGGGGAATTCTGGTGTGCAGGTACCTGGTGAGCACATCGCTTCGGTGCAGCACCCACGGGGCTGAAGTGCCCGGGACATGAGGCTCCAAAATCACACCCACAGCAAGCCTGAAATCCCTCTGCCTGACAGATGCAGCTCAGCTGCTCCGTCCCCAGCCTCAGGCTCCGAGAGCACCCCTTCCTGGAGAGAGTGTAGACAGACAGACAGACACAGGAGGCTGGGACCCCTCTGGCTGTGGGTGCTGACAAATTTCTGCCCTCTCTGATCATCAGATTGGCTTTTTCCCAGGTGCTGCCCTATTGCTGGGTTCTAGAGGAGTGGTCTCCCACTCCTACCAGCTGCATGGGAGAGGGGTGGATGCTGATCCCCTTTGCAGGAAACTTAGGTGTCCTAGGCTGGTTTTTCAGGGGTTTTTGGCCGTCTCTGCTATAGTTCAGCAACATCAGAGCTCATGGAAGGAAATGGTCCTCTGCTCGAGTAACCAAGTACAAAGCTGAGAGTTAATAGCTTACATCCTCCTGCAGCCACACGCTGTCTTCCTTTGCAGCCAGGTCCTGGCAGAAAGAGAGCAGCTTCCATCCAGTACTTCAGAAACTGTCTTGGTTCCCCTTGGTACAGAGATCTGCTCACATTACATTACAGTTATTCTTCCCAGGGAACAAGAGTTTCTTTGCAAAATTAAGACATTTGTCTGCAGCCTCACGAGTGATTTGCTGCAGTAACGAGCTGCAGGTTTCTGCAGACTGGAGTCATACGAGTGCTGAGGTGGCACGAGACCTGCATGCTTACCCCCCATCACTGGTATCTTCTTGCCCTCTCCCCAGCAGCATCTGGTGGAGGGATGCTGCAGGATCTGTTTCTCCGCAAGGGCTTTTCAGAGAGGGAGCAGGGCTCTGACACATGTCATCACTGTTTGATCTCCAGCATGCTTGGCTCTCTGTCGGAGAGCTCGCACATAACGATACTGCTTCATTTGAGCGTCTGTTATCACATCGTGCTGAGGCTGACAGATGCTTCCAAGCACAGTTAATGCCTGTCGGCAGCCCCGAGCCCACAGGCTGCGGTGTGGGAGGACCTGGAATCCCACCGGGACGCAGAGCCTGAAGCCCATGAGCCAGAGGTTGTTTTTCTCTTCCCAGAAGGTTGGAAATGTACCCAGTGATTCCCAGTATCACCAGCAACCCCCTCACCCCTAACATCTAGATATTTGTAAGTACCTCCTGCTTACAGTTCATGACTGAACTGTTGAAGGGAGTGAATAGATTTTTCGTCTTAGTCATTCATCCAGCCACGGAGGATCTCTCTGCACCCAGAAGACCTTGTAGCTTCATTTAATACACCTGGGGAAACCAGGCTTTCTATTCTCCTTCCTGGTACAGTCTGGTGAATGGCTTGTTGTTCTCCCATCTTTTATTTCCCAAGTGCCTTTATCCTAGGAGGCTGGTCCCTAACTTTTGCCTTTCAAGAAGTGTCCTAGAATGGCTTTAAACTGCATTATAGGGTCAAAGTGTCCAGGACAAAGAGTTATGGACACACCTGTTCTCTGCCTTCAGCGCATTGTTTGTGTTCTTAACCTTTGCAGGCTCTTTCCGACCATCTCCTGCCACAAGGATGGTCTCAATTTGTCCCTGGTTCTTGAAAGCTGCAATGCGTTAGGAATCTGCCAGATCCTTGATATGGCTATTGCCATGGAGGGCTTTCCACATATGACACCAGGGTGTGAGCTACTGATGCCAGGCAGGAGGAATTCGAGTGGTGGGAATACGGCTGGACAGTCACTTAGCTGTTACATGCACTTCTTGTTTCCAAGAGTATGGTCCAGAAAATGAAAAAGAAACCCCACCCTGGGAAAATCCCATCCTTAGGCAAAGCACCCTTCTTCCTACCCCACCCCGTGCTTACTCACTCCCAACCCATCACCTCCCGAATTCCCTTTCCCTTGCTCCAAAATATGGTGCCTAAATTTGACCTCCTTGGAATTTATGGGCCACATTTTACTTGCCTTTATAAAATTTGGAGAGATTTAGTTATGCAGGTTATAGGCCCTTTTGAAACCCACAAAACTATTTTAAGCAGCAATTTGAAATTTGCTTTGATGACAGTGATAAGGGCAGGAAATCACATGCTATAAAAAAGTGGGAAAATGTAATAAACAGTCCCTGGGCTGCTATTTCAGCATCTTGTCAAGGACCTGTTATTCCTTTCACTCTGATCCCCCTTGTCATGTGCCACCGGGCTATCCAGGCAGGCCTGGGAGCAGCTGAGGTGACACAGTGATAGATATGAAGCACGGGCAGCACCTCTAGGCCACCATTTTGGGCACCTGCCAAGCAGCAGAAAACACCGCTTGGGAAATGTGGCTGCTTCCACCTTTCCCTCTGCCCTGGGAGTCACTGGAGGCCCATCCAAGGCAGACCTAGGGACCCTTTCCCCTCCGCAAGGAGGGCAGAGAGAAGGTAGGACGCTGGTGGCTGGCTCTACTGCCAGCGTCCCACACTGTTTGCTTTCTTCCCAGCACACCCTGTGATTGAGAACGGGCAGGTGGAGTGTCCCCAAGGATACAAGAGGCTGAACCGGAGCCACTGCCAAGGTAAGGATGCTGCTTTCATATCTCTCTCTCCTTCCCACATCCACTGTCAGAGCTGTAATTATCTTCATAAGTAAAATACAGTTATCTAACTCCCTGATATAGATCTACAAAGAACGTGACATAAAAATCCCTGTGCTTTCATCAAGCATGAAAAAAAACAGGTAACACTGGACTACCTGACTCAGCTGATAAGCGCAGTCAGCGCATAGTTGGGCCAGCATAAGAAAACTCACCTACTAAGTCCTACTGACACAGTAAGGACCTATGTTGCTGCTCTGCTATGTGTGAGTGTAAAAACACTTCTCCCGTCATGTGAAGCAACAGAAATTCTGTTGCCTGAAAACATTTGGGAAGGTTGTCGGCTTGTTCCATTGTTCATTTTCAAGTGGGAAAGTGCCATAAAAGTGAGTCCTTCTGTTCCAGGCGTGCTGCTTGCCCGTGCTGACAGGCTGCCTTGCCTGCCCCACGCTGCTGGGGTCTGTCCATTTCTCACTCCCGCAGTCCCTCAGCTCTGTATGAGGAAGGCACCATCTCTCCGCTTTTCTCTCCGGTTCATGTTTGTTTGGCATGTCTTGTCCCGTAGGGCTTGTGTTTTTCCGTGCTCTGACTGAAGTGGAATTTTGTGGTTCCCTTCTCGTGATTCATGATAAGCTGAGAGGTGTCATCTCGAAGATGCAGCAGGGAGCCTGGGCCTCAGCCATGCAAACCCAGGGCTGGCAATCCAATGATTCATCCCTTTTAGCTGGGACTTTCCACCATGCTTACTTAATTAATGATTCAACCGCCCCACGTTGTCCTGGGGGAGAACTTTCAACAAGGCAACAACTTCTATGCTCCTTGGTGTTCAGATTTCATCCCTTATGTGGCCACAGACAGCGCTGTGGGTATAAGGAGCTACCCTGAGACATTAAACCGGAGTCAGAGGAGCAGAGCAGCTGAGGGACTCATGTCAGTGAGCAGAGACCTGTGGTGCCTGCTCTGGATTTGTGACCCCTCTGGAGCAGGGAGAGGCTCAGCGTTCTGAGGAGCAGAGGGAGATGGCAATGTGGAGTTGGCTAGGAAGATGTTTTTGCGCATGAACCGTGGACCAGAGATTTGTGCTTCTGTGTGCTCCGTAAGCCGGGCTGGAGAAGTACTGTTCTGCAGATCGTCTGCTGCCTTGAGGCGCTTTTCCCATCTCTGCTGTTGCAGCGGGACGTGTGTCAGGAAGCCCAGCACCTCACTTAGGGTCCAGAGTGAGCAATTTGGCTGATAGACTGTGGGAGAGGCTACACGGGGCCTTCTCTTGCCAGCCCAGGTAGGAGGGGAGCCAAGGGGCTGGACAGCAGCTGATGGTTCCTGAGGTCATTGGCTGTAGGAGAGGAGCTGAGCTGGGAAGAAACTGAGCTCTGGCTTTGCAGGCTGTTGTCAAAGCACAGATGAGTGACTGGAGGGGGGCCCTGGCAAGAGCCCACTTTCCTCTGTCCTGTATGGACAGAAAGGGTTGTCTCTGGTGCCTTCCAGCAGAGGAACAAATGGCTTATCTCTGCAAGATCTCCCTGCCTTTCCTGCATCTTGTTGACCAGGAACAAGGCTGCAATGATTCTGAGTTGAGAGTGCCTGGCAGACCCATTCAGGAAACCTCCCAGTGCTGTTGGGATGAGCAAGAAGGATGGCACTGGAAGGGATAAGGTGGTTGCTAGACATGAGGCAAAGATTGTCTTGGAGGCTGCAGGCTGGGGTGCCTGGAGACAGCAGTAGGAAGGTCTGCATGCACAGGGGTCACTGCACAGGACACACACTGGCACCTTGGTGTCTGTATATCCTTGGTGTCTGTTGCTGACTCAGGTCTTTTCTGCTCACCAAGCACCATGGTAAACCAACCTGCACCTTTCCACCACAGGCTGCCTGACCCAGCATGTCCATTTCTGAGAAGCACCAGCAGGCTTGTGTGGGGTTGGAAGGAGCAGCTGAGACAGCATACAGATATTGGTTTTTGGTCCCTGAGGCCTCTTCTTGTGGGCTAGCCCCGTCACTGGCATGCTGCAGGGGCAGGAGGGCATGGGCCCCGAGTGCGCCTGCCTGCTTCTGTTCCCTGTGGGGATTTCCACTGCGGGTGGGTCCTCTGCTGCCAGTGGACTAGAGGGGGTTGGACTGAAGCCGGGACGTGGCCCTGTTTTAAATTAAGCTCATAAAGTCCAGCCCTTGGTGCTTGTTTGTTTTGTGCTCTCATTACTCTAATCCCTTCAATCCCTTTGCTTATGTGGAGGCCAAACACTTCGTCCACTTGGTGTGCTGGAATGACACGGCGCTCCGACCGTGCCGGGGAGTGACAGGGATGAGCCCCAAGGCTCCTCTGGAGAGCCCAAGCCTCTTCTCTGAGTTGGGTTCCCAGCACATTTGGGGTCTGGCCACTGGTTGTTCTCATGAACTCTGTCCTGTGCTTGGTTCGGAGCAGGAAACCATTACATTATGCAGCCAAACCCTACTCCTCCCTGGCCTGCTGCGCATCCCTGTAGCATTGGTACTTCCAATTGACTGAACATCATGGCCTGGTCTCGATGGCCCGTGTGTGTCTCAACCATGTATGGGGCAGCCAGTGAGGCAAATGGGGGAATTTAAGAGCACAGGACTGGAGAAGACATCTCAGGTGATTAAGTCTGAACTCCAGCTGTTACAGCTGGCTGCGTGACACCCTCACTCCCACCAAGCAGTGATGCTTCAGCTCTGAGGAATAAGGTACTGCTGGGAAAGCCGTTCCTGAGCCTAGCTGCTCTCAGTCAGGCTCCTCCACTATCTCCATTCCTCCAAGCATCCCAGCAGCCCACCTCTGCACCTCTTCCACCTTGAGACAGTCTCTAGAGCACCGCTGGGGGCTCTCAGGGCACCTGAGGTCCCACCAGGGCCTTGTACACTGGCACTGGGACTGCCCCATGTCTTTCGGAAGTGTTTGGCATGATGCTGCCTAGCATCACGTTGGCATTTCTTGGTCTTGGCAGCTCACAGCTGTCCTGTGAGCAGTGAGCGTGCCCAGGTCCCTCTCGCTGCCTCCTCCCACCTCTTAGCTTGTAGTATGTGTTCCTGTGATTTGTCCTGGGGTGGTGCTGATGTTCATCCCACTACTGCCACTCTGTGCTCCCATCCAACTCTTCCTGCGCTGCTTGTGCCTCCTGACACAGCACATTTCATCAGCATGCTGACTTTTCTGGGCCAAGCTCTTTAGTGAAGATATAAAGCTACATCAACCATGAGGAGGGCTTCCTCCTCACTCTCCACCATGAAAGCTGCCCTCAGCTCCCCCTTATGCATCTTTTTACCAATCCCTGTCTTCTCCCACTTAGCTCATACATTCCTATGTGGGGCTGTAGGAAAGGCTTTCCTGCAGCCGAGATGGGTGAGCATGATGGTGTTTTCCTGGGATAAGCCCAGCTCCCCCCCCCCGAAGACTGCATCTGGTGCATGCTGAGTCAGGGGCAGAGGCAGGGCTTGAGCTTGGCGACCTCCCACTTGCTCAACCTGTTCCTAGAAGACACTACAGCGGTGAGCCACAGCCTGGCCCACCATCCCTCCGCCTCTGGAGGGGATCAGTCACTGCCCTCTGTGCGTTTGGCACTGAGTTTCTCAGCAAGGATCCTCTGTGGATGACGGCTCCATACAAGCAAGACCAGGGATCGGGTGAAAGGACAGGACTCACCAGTCCAGGCTTGCAAATGACAACTGCGATGCCCGTAAGAGTGACCCTGCCAGGGTGGCTCACTGTGGGGGCCACATCTGTTTTCCACAAAGCCATCCCTGCAGCTGCAGTGAGCAAGCTCCGTGCTGCAGATGTGGGGGACTGCTGTCCCGTGGAGGTCCCCACCACACACCAGACCGGCTGAGACCCCCTCGGTCTGTGGCACCTGAATGGGAGGCACTGGGTAGGGGGTTCAATTCACCCTTAGCTTCCTCATATCTCACCAGGCTCTCTCCTGTCCACAGATATCAATGAGTGCTTGATGCAGGGCCTGTGCAAAGATGCTGAGTGTATGAACACCCGCGGCAGCTTCCGCTGCACCTGCAAGCCTGGCACCATGCTGGACCCGTCCCGTAGCCATTGCATCTGTAAGTGCTCCAAGGAACCCCTCCATCTGGGAAGGGGCCTGAGCAGGACTCTACGGCTGAGTGGAGGCTGCAGCATGCTTCGCGTCTCTTGCAAGTGCGGTTGAGTTACACTGTCCTGTGCTTGTGTGCAGGATGGGCCCCCTTAATGCATTGTTCTTCTCCGTGGACATCTCATGGCCCCTGTAGAGCCTGGAGGGGATGTGCCTGTGGTGCGGCAGGAGAGCACACAGCCTCCTGGGCTGAGAGAGCTCCCACAGGAGCTGGATTTCCTTGGGGCTGGTGCTGCTGGGGGTATGGCCCGATGGCTGAAGGCCAGGGATTGTTCTGGGGAGAGGATGGGGCAGCTCTCAGGACAGGCTGGGAGGCGCAGGCAGAGAAAGTCCCGAGGCGGAGAGACCGAGTGTCCCCCATTCTCTCTTTGGAGAGCACAGAGCTTGACCTCTGGCACTGACCCTGCCGTTGTGTTTCAGCGGACAAAGCGGTGTCGATGGAGCAGGGGCTGTGTTACCGCTCAGCAGCCGGAGGTGTGTGCTCCTTCCCCCTCTCCCACCGCATCACCCAGCAGATCTGCTGCTGCAGCCGCGTCGGCAAGGGCTGGGGGAAGAACTGCGAGGAGTGCCCCGTGCCCGGCTCAGGTGAGACGTTCCCACTTCAGCTTTCCCTGCTCTGGTTAGACCGGGGTTTGGGCTTGCCTGAACTTGCTGCCACACAGATGGCTGCAGTCCCCAGAGCTGAGCAGTGCAAATGCTGGCCTGTGAGATGGGTGCAGCAGCCCAGGAAGCAGACCTGGATAATACGGGAAGACAGAGAAATCCCTGATGGGAAACCACTCTGTACCAGAGGGAGAGCACAGCCATGTCTGTGCCTGGGTTTCCTCGACAGCCCTTTTGTCTCTCGTACATCTTCTGCTGGATGAAAGCCAGGTGAGGATGAGTTTGGCATATCTCAGCATGGGATAGGGTGGAGGGGAAAGCACTGAAGTCCTCAGGGATGGGAAAAATCTTCAGGTGGTTTGTGCAGAGCATCTTGAGTGATGTGCAAAGCACTCAGTGCCGAGATACCAGGGGTTTGCTTTTATCTGCTCCCTTGCTCAGCATGGACCTTGCTGTGGCATGATCCCTACCTAGCAGTACTGACCCAAGGGAGGGATTTAGTTTTTGGTGTCTGGGAGTACCAGCCAGTGCCTGTTAGAAATCCACCCTGCCCTGTGAGCAGAATCCTTCTGCTCGAAGCATCCATCCACTGCAGCCCAGATGTGTTTCTATAAGGATTTAACTCCTAGAAATCTCCAGAAAATGATAGGATGGGAGAAACTGGTACCTGCATTCACATCCCTACCTGTCCATCTTCATTCCTTTCTTCCGCTTGTCCCACCATCATGTCTGGGTGCGGTAAGCCAGGTGATCCCTGCACCACCCTCTTCCTTCCAACCTCTGCCCTCTAAAGCTTTGATTTGATTTTCCCTTGCAGAAGCCTTCAAGGAGATTTGCCCAGCAGGACATGGCTACACCTACTCCAGCTCTGATATCCGCCTGTCGATGAGGAAGGCAGAGGCAGAAGAGCTGCCCCTCAGCTTGGAAGAGCAAGGGGAGAGCAGCAACTGGACGTTGGACTGGGCAGCAAGGAGACAGCAACTGCAGGACAGCCTGCGTGGGAGCGTCCTGGAGGCATTCCCCCACCCTGGCACCTCAGCAGGAGAGGGTAGTGTGGGGTCTATTGCTTAAAGCTGCTCCATCCTAGCAAGGGTGGGCAAATGCCCAGGTCCTGCCATGCCCTCATGGATGGACTTCTAGCTGATAAGGGCTTTCTACATTTGTATGAATATGCTAGATGTTCTTCAGCCCTACTAGTGTTCCTGGGGCATGAGACACCACGTCTTTAAGCCTTTGGAGAGAAGGTTGAGTGTTTCAGGTTCCTGTGACTTCATCTTTGCAGTTGGTGCTGGCTGGCCAGGCTGCTTCCACCAGGACCTCAGGTCTGCGTGGCAGCCCTGGCACTGCAGTCCTTGGGCTTTTGTCCAGCCTAGCTGGAGGGAAGTGTGACCAACGGCTTGTGCCAGCACCTGCTGGAGCGGAGCTCCTGGGGTCTGTGCGGTGCCAGGAGAGGAGTCCAGGTGTGTTGGCTTTGGGAACAAGCTCTTGTGGAGGAGCATGAAGGACTGAGCGGCCATGTCTTAGAGATGGAGTGAAGTTAGGGCAGCCAGGGTTTGGGGAGGATGCCTGCTTGCCTTGTCTCTACTCACCATGCACTATTTCACTTTCTAGGTGAAGTTTCTCCTGCTGCACAGGTGAGTAAGGTTTGTCTTGATACATCTGGGTGCATCCATGGTAGCTTGATGGGCAGGGAGGGGGATGTCATACAAATAGGTGGCAGGGAGGTGTGAAATGTGGTCACAGAGAGCACTAAAGACAGCACGTAGCTGGTGCTGGAGGGAACAGTGTATGAACTGCAAACCCTGTCACCCTGGCTGAGTTGCCATGGCTGAAGGCACTGTGCCACGGTGCCCACTGAGCCCTTGTTAAAAGGCCATTAGCTCAAACCAATGGGAGCTGAGGGCTCTGCTGCACTAGTTCATGGTCAACTAGTTCATGGTCAGCGCTGACTCCAACTGGCATTTGCTGGGTTGGGGTAGCAGTCCAATCTGAGGCCAGAGCTGGCTGAGGTGTGGGCGCTCACTCCCTGCTATCAGCCTGGCCTGGCTGTAGGGCTGATAGGCAGCAGGGGAAGGGGAACTGCTGCGGTCAGCTTGGGGAGTGCTCCTCTCACAGAGCCCAGTGTTGTGTTCAAGCCCAGCTCACAGACAGGTCTCCCCATGCATTTGTGGGTGCAGCAGAAACTCCACTGGAGCAGTCGGGGCAGGGGTCTCCCACACTGGCTGTGTGAATTCACCCTGTCTGACAGGAGCAGCCTGGGGACCGATTCTCTGCCAGGCTTTCCCAGGTCTGGGTTTCTTTATTATGAGTCTCACTTGAAAAATGTGCATCTCTTGATCCCTGCTGTCAGTAGAGGTTGGGCCATATCTCTCCTGAGCACCTCTGTGCCCCCTTGCTATAGCAGCGCAGCCCTCAGAATGTACTTACAGCCCCTCTGAGAGAGGGGACAGCACTGCCATCATCCCTGCTTCATAGACATGAAGTGACTTCCCCAAGGACACATGAGAAATCTCAAGATGGCAGAAATTTGAACCAAAGCTTCCAAACTTGAAGCAGAGCTAGTCTGGAACTTATGTTGCTCAGCCGCCTATTTTCTTCATCCATTGCAGAAAGATCCTCAGACCAGAGACCCAGGTTGTGCTCCGACATCTCCTTTGGCAGCCATGGGTTTGCCAGGAGGGGATGCGGAGAAAGAGCGTCTAGCACCAAGCACCCTTCTAGTAGGTAGCACTCTTGAGGCAGGTCAAAGCAGTGGCCGTCCTCAGCCCTTCAGAGCCACCAGTGACAGTAGCAGCATTTACCGTGCCCGGATGCCCTTCCCGGCCACCTTGCAGAGGTGCCTGCCTGGTAGCAGTACCCTGGGTCTCACCTGCACAGCGTGCTGGCATGGCCTCTCTGTGGGCAGCCCCCCGGGCACAGCCAGGAGCTGTGTTTTACTCAGGACAATGTGCTCAGGACAGAGCGCCCCTGCCAGCTGCACCCAGCCGTGGCAGCTTCTCCTGCCAGGACAGTGTCTTGGGGAGCAAGAGGAGCCAGGAGGTGGGTGGCAATATGTCTCAGGGATGCTGCATCCCAGCTACGTGCACGTGGATAGAGGCAGTCCTATGTTTCTGTCCCTCAGGGCGCTGCTGATGCCACCGCAGAGCCTGTCCCGCGCAGAGGTGAGTGCCAGGGTAGTCGTGGGGATGGTTGAAGAGGATGGGCAGTGAGGAGGGAGGAGAACGGGGAGGCTGGGAGCTGCCTCCTCTGCACGTCAGCCCCCTGGTGCTCGGCAGGACAGGCTCCTGGCTGGGCTGGCTGCAGGGCGGCACGGGGGACCCCTGCCACGCTGAGTTGGCTGATGTGGGGCTGTAGGGATGTGGGGAGGTGGTGGATCTCCAGCGAGGTGGAGGAGGCTGTGTTAAATAACAAAATGATGAAGTTGCTGCAGCCACCCTGTGGCCCCTTCCCATGTGCTCTCTCAGGGCTGTAGATGCAGGGACACCCAGCACAGGTGTGGTGGGTGGGCGGGCACCTCTGCCTGGGATCGGGCACTGGACCTCACCTCTCTTCTTTGTCCTCAACAGAAGAAGAGGAGTCCTGGCGTGGCTCTCCCCAGCCTGGCCGCACCACCACCTGGGATGCTGCTGCTCCAACACAGATGCCAGCGCAGGGCTCAGGTGCATGTCCACCACTCTCGGGGACTTCCCTCCTCTCTCTGCCTGGGACTATGGGGAAATTATGCCCTGAGCTCTGCCCAGGGGCTCTCTCCCTTCCCCAGCCTGCTTGTCTTCCCACATGTCCCCTTTGACTTCCCAAAGAAAAGTCCCTGCCCTACCACCCTGGGGTGTTGTCCCAGCCTGGTCCCGGCTGCTGCCAGCCAGGGAAAGCTGGCTGGCCATGGGGAGGCATGAGAGCGATGCCGTAAGGGGAGCAAAGTGTTTGGCTTTCTGGGTCCTTCCCCACCTGCAGCTCACTTGCTCAGTGCAGCAGTGGCTGGCCGGCGGGGGGGATCACGCGCCCGCTCCGGTGGCTTTGGCCCCGTTCCCCCCGCCACCTGCAGCTCACTTGCTCACTGCTGCAGTGGCTGCCAGGCGAGGGGGATCACGCGCCCGCTCCGGTGGCTTTGGCCCCGTTCCCCCTGCGGCGTGAGCTGACTCATCGGGAAGGGGGAGCACAAGGGGAGGCATGTGGCTCCCGGGGCGGCTTGTTTACTGCGCCAGAAACAAGGGCGCTCTTGTTCCAGGGTTGCTCAAGTGTCTGGGAGCGCGGCCCCTGCCCTCCGCCGGGGGCTGGAGCACCTTGGGGAGCAGGCCTGGCTGAGGCACCTTGCTGAGGAATGCGTCTTCCTCAATAGCCTTTTGTTTAGGGTTGGGCTGGCCCCCCCCAGCCAGCTCAGTGCTGAGGGGTGTGTGGTGGGGGGGGGGGGGGGGGGGGAGCCCTGCTGTCACCCCAAAAGGAGCCACCTCACAGATGCCAGGCTCTGCTGCCAGCCCTGCTCCGAGGCAAGGGGCTGGCAGGCTTCCTCACCATCCTTTTGTGGGGCCAGCACGCAGGTGAACAGTGCAGGGGACTGGGGCATCCCAGCTGGGCTCAGGCTGGAGGAGGTGGCAGGGTCTGCTGTGTACTCCTTGCAGCCCTATGGGTGCAGGCTGCCTGAAAATGTAGAGGAGCAGGCTCAGCATCGCTCTCCAAGAAGGGAAAAAGCAGCTTCCCCAGCATGGTGCTGGGGACACAAGGCAGACGCTAGACTCTCTGCACCCTTTTGGTGCTGTCCCCAACCCCGTGCTCTCTCCTCACAGGGGTCAGCAGCTGTGCCTCTTCACCCTTCTCCTGCGGAGCCGGTGCTTGCATGCTCACCGTGGAGGGATACCGCTGCTTGTGCCACCCTGGCTACACGTTGAACCCCAGCCGTCGCCGCTGCATCGGTAGGTTGGCACCTCCTCTGCCTGCCAGGCCTCGATGGACCATTCGATCCTTCCGGCTCCTGGGGGAAGGTTTTCTGGCAGCTTCTGCTGAGCCCTGCCCACCTGCTGCACCACAGGGCTGGCAAGGGGCTGGCAGGCAGCTGCGGGTGGTAACTGCCTGTCTTCCTTCCTTGCCTGGGCACAGATGAAGATGAGTGCCTGAAAGATCCTTGTGCTGGAAAAGGGCGCTGCATCAATAGTGTGGGCTCTTATTTGTGCCTCTGCTACTCTGGATACACCCTGGCTGTCTTGGAGGGCAAGCAGAGCTGTGAGGGTAAGTGGTGTCTGCCTGCCACAGGGCTGCCACCTCCCCAGGGTCTCCCCAGTCTCCTGTCCTCGCACCCTCTCATGCACATGCACACACACACACACACACATGCACTCATGCACACAGTGTACACGCACCTGCACACACACATGCACATCTGCATACCCTCCCTCCCCGCAGGCCTGCCCACGGACAGCCTGATCCATGGGGATCACCCTCTCCTGCTCACTCAGGGACAGGACCTTGCCCATGATGATCTGGGCAGGAGCCTGTGATGCCAGCCCTGATCACTGCTTCATGGCAAGGGGGGTGCTAGGACAGATGGGGGATGGAGGACAGCCCCGGCACGGGTCCCCTGGGCCGAGCCTGCTGCAGGTGGAGCAGCAACTTTCCTGCACCCAGCCTTCCCCACGCTGGAGGGGGAAGGCTTCAGGACTGTCTCCCTGTCTGTTGCCAGATCGAGATGAATGTGAGCAGCCCTCTACCTGCCGAGGACAGCGGTGCATTAACACCCCCGGCTCCTACCGCTGCGAGTGCAAGGAGGGCTTTGCCATGGGCCCCAGAGGACAGTGCGAAGGTGAAGCTTGCTGCTCCCTGTTCCCCTGCCCCTCCAACCCACCCTGTGCAGGGCTGAACAGCTGCGTTCCTTACCACTCTGCGTCTCCTCCTGGAAGGGAGGAAGGACCCCCCATGTTTGTCTGCCCTGTGCCCTCCCTGAGGGCTGCCTGGCCTCTTCTCTGCCTGAAGGAGGGACAGGCTTTCCTGGGCTGGGAAAGGGGAGTTCTCCTGAGATCCCCTCCCACCTCCCCAGGGAAATCCCCTACGACCAGCCCATGCCGGCTTCCTATTCTGGGAGGAGATGCCCATATGTTTTCGTGCCAGCTTGACTCTGTCACCAAACCCTCGTGCTGGCAAGTGGCCTGCAGGGAGAGCAGACTGCAGAGACTGAGGCCACCTGTCGCCACACCATCCCGCTCACGTGGCACGACCTGGCCTCTTCAGAGCATTCGATCTTGTGAACATACGATGTGCCTGATCAAAGATCCCCCTTTCTCAGTAGCTCGTCTCCAACAGAGAGTGGGAGGCTATTTTAGGGAAACAGGGCACGCACAGAATGCTGCTCCCCCCGCATGGCCTCCAGAAAGCACTTGCCTTAAGGACTTCCTGAGCTGGAGGCTGCATCCTAATCATAGTTACGAAAGTCCCTGATGAAACAGCCCTGCACAGATGTTCTCTGATCCCTTTCTCTGCCCGTGCACATTCCTGGCCTTGGCAACATCATGCAGCAGCGGGTTTCGCTGCTGGACTATGTCAGCCCTCAGGTGTGGGTGTAGGATCCTGAGTGTTAAGTGGGACTATAAGAAGTGATGCCCAAGCCCTGGCAAACTTGTCTCACCTCCTCTTGGGCATCACTGTCCCCTGGAGGGGGACTCTGAGGACCCAGCTGGAGGGGACATCCTGGAGAAGGCTGCACTCTTCACCTTTGGGAGCATGAAAGGAGTGTGTTTCTTGGCAGATATCAACGAGTGCGTGGATCCCAGCCCTTGCCCCCACGGGAAGTGTGTCAATACGCTAGGCTCCTACAAGTGTGTCAGCTGTGGGGATGGCTACCGGCCCAGGAATGGGAGATGTGTTGGTGAGGAACATGGGCTGTCTCTGGGTGGCACCCTCGCCCCCCCCCGCGGCAGTGCTCCCTGCAAGCCTCAAAAGGAGTAGGGGCACGGGCAGCATGCATGGCCAGGGCAATTTGGGTGGCAGGGATGGCGCTGAGCACCCTCCCATTCCATATTGCTCTCTGCTGTGTCACGCAGATGTGGATGAGTGTCTTGTGGAGGGGACCTGTGCTCACGGGCGGTGTGTCAACCTGGATGGCTCCTTCCGCTGTTCCTGCTACCGGGGCTACGAGGCAGCACCTGACGGGAAGAGCTGCCAAGGTACCGTGGAGCCGTGAGTCCAGACCCCCTGAAGTGTCATGCACCCAGTCCAGAGGTTTCCCTGGGCTCTTCCTGAGCACTCAGCTCTGTCTGAGTCCTGGCAACCATGTTGGCTGGCTCCCTCAACACGTCTTCCCTGGTCGTGGTTCCGCATCCTTCCCACTCATCCCACTCTTCCTTGTGTGCTTATGCAGACATCGACGAATGCACTGCCCAGGCTGCCTGTCCCTCTGGACTCTGCCTCAACACTGAGGGCTCCTACTCCTGCATGGCCTGTGATGCTGGCTACGCTGTGTCCAGAGACAGCAACACGTGTGAAGGTATCACTTTCGCAGGGACAGGGGAGCAGGTGCTGGAGGGAATGAGGGAAGAGGCATTGCCATAGCTGGGTTATTGGTGGGGTCTGGGGACTTCTTTAGCCTCAGGATCCTTCTCCAGCTCTTTAGCTCTCCGATCAGCGGATAGATAGTGGAGGGAGGAGCTGCAAGCAGATGTCACCTAGAGCAGCAGGAAGGTGATCTTCCTCACCCAGGAAAGGGATGGGGGGGCAAGGACTCACTGATGAAACTCCTGGACTAATGGTGACCTGGGGGATGCTGACAAAGGCCAGAGGAGTACAGGAGGCCTGGAAACGTGGGCAGAGAGGAGCTGTGTGTGTTTCAGTTCAGAACTGTGTGCCTGGAAGCATGTGCCCTGAATGCAGGTCCTCAACAGAGGCAGAAACCTTGGGTCCACAGCCAGTAGAGAGACTGGGCACGCAGGGTTCATCTTTTTTCCCCAGTCCCTAATGCAACTTGGACATGTTTAAAAAGGAAAGAGTAGTTCAAGGGCTCTGCTGTGCCAGGTATGCGTGGCAGAGAGCTAACACCAGCATGGATCCGTGTTGTTTGCTTTGCTCAGACATGAGAGTGCCCTGCCCCAGCCTTACAGCCTGACTGCCCCAGCGCAGGCAGGGAAACTCCCTCCCTGGTGGCTGCCCCCAGGGGACATCGTGGGCTTGAGATGGCTTGGTGCAAATTCCCTGTTTGGGGCAAGGGAAAGGAGGGGGCAGAGCTGGCGAAGGTATTTGTTTAAAGATTGGCCATGTGCTGCAAATTTCTCTCTGGAGCACTGCAGAGCTCGGCAGCCTGCACATAGCTGGCAAACAGAAGATCTTGCCTTTGATGTGACTCTCAGAAGACCCCCCTGCATGGGGGCCTCCAATGGGGGAGGAGAGGGAGGCTTTCCTCCCTCTCTTCTCCTCTGTTTTGGTGTCTGAGAAAGCCAGAATGAAATGAGCTTATTTGGCATCTGATTTTTGGGTGCAATGGAAGAACCATGGTTTGATCCCTTCCATCCGCCCTCCCCCTTTCCCAAGACCCCATGTGAGCCCCTTCTCAGCCACCTTGCCCCAGCCATGTCACGAGGGCACCTTATCAGGATTCAATACTGTTTGGGTCACACTGACCCGATAGCAGGATGCCACGTTCTTCCCTGCCTTGGCTGGTGGCCTTGTCTGTGGATCTGGGTTTCATATTTGAAAAATGATAAGGGGTTCGTGATAGTTTTGTGATAAATAAACTAGGTTATGGTTCATCTCCAGAAGGATTCAAGAATAATACTACTTGTAACCCTTTGAGACTGAACAGCTGGGAATCCTGCCCTGAGGCGATAGGGAGCGATGCTTGTTTATGCCTGTGGTGTGCTCAGCACCCTGTGAAGGGGAAGAGAAGGTCCCTGCCCTGCCCTCAGGAGCTGCCAGTCTCAGGGATTTAGCTCCTGGCAGAGGAGAAGAGTACAGCAGGACCTTCTCCACTGGCATGTCTTCTGCTGCCTGCACACCAGCCCATCCTTCTGATTAGCAGCGTCCTCCAATGCTTCCCCCTACCTCATGGGCCTGCAGGCAATGGCAGCCTGCTGGCATGTTGCAGCCCTCTGTTAGAGGGAAGGCACCCCTCTCTCCTCTGCTGTGAGCGAAACCCTCAGAGTGCCAGCATGCTCTGGCCAAGGCCTGGGGGAGTTGGGTGGGAGAGGGTTCATGGAGAGCTCTGCAGCTGAGTAAGAGCTGATGTAGGCCCCCAGCCAGCTTTGCCAGGAGAAGGACATTGCAGGCAAGAAGGTATGGCTGGTGCTGCGTTACCTTCCTGATGTTTGCTCTTGTGCAGTTGGCTGAGGAGAGGGTTTGTCAGCAACTGTGGCTCTGCGCTGGCCCCTTGGTTGTGGTACCCAGTGGAGAGCTCTGCTGGAGGTGGACACTGGGGTTAGCAGTATCCCTGTGCTCACAGAATCGCAGAATGGATGAGGTTGGAAGGGACCTCTGGAGATCATCTTGTCCAACCCCCCTGCTCAAGCAGGGCCACCTACATCTGGTTGCCCAGGACCATGTCCAGACGGCTTTTGAATATCTCCAAGAAGGGAGACTCCACAACCTCTTTGGCAATCTGTGCCAGTGCTCAGTAACCCTCACAGTAAAAAAGTGTTTCCTGATGTTCAGATAGGACCTCCTGTCTTTCAGTTTGTGCCCGTTGCCTCTGGTCCTGTCACTGGGCACCACTGACTTGGTGCTGGGATCCGGTTTATCCTGGTCCCTGTGATGGAGGGGAGTGAAGAGTCTGGGCTGACTCCTCACCAGTAACAGGGAGTCTCTGCCTTCATCTCACTGTGACAGGATGGTCTGGGAGGGCAGCTCAAACCCACCTTGCAGCCCAACAGCTGGGTGATGGCTTCTCTGGGTGGGGTCTTCTCCAGTGGCGGCAAGAGCTGGGACCTCACTCTGTACTGTGCCCTTCTTGGCAGATATGGATGAGTGTGAGGACCCTGCTGTTCAGTGCCTGGGGGGAGAGTGCAGGAACACCCCGGGCTCCTACAAGTGCCACTGCCAGGCTGGCTTCAAGCTCGTCAACGGCACCGTGTGCGAAGGTACGAAGCCCATCCCTGCAGCCCTCTGGGTCCAGGTCATACAGCCTCCCTATAGATCTCCCTTCTTTCTCGGCAGAGAGTATGCCAGTGCCAAGACAGGTGATGCCACCATGCATGGCACATCCATAAGGTTGTAGCCAAATGCAGGATCACCATGGACAGGGAAGATCTCTGTCTCCATGGCGAGAAAACCAGGGGCCAGGAGCCCTGCGAGAGCTGCCTGTAAGAGACTGCAGACAGGGAATCCATGTGGCTTAGGTGAAGGACGTCCCCCAGAGCTGGGTGTATGGCCCTGACTCTGCTCCCTCTGCAGATGTGAACGAGTGCCTAAACAGTGAGATCTGCAGCCCCAATGGCGAGTGTCTCAACAGTCACGGATCCTACTTCTGCATTTGTGCTCCTGGCTTCTCGAACGTGGCTGGCGGAATCAGCTGCCAAGGTGAGCTGGAGCATGGCAGGGACATACCTCGGGTCCTGCCCTCTGCTTCCTCCCCTGCTGTGAGATCCAGGCTGATGATTTTGGCCTGATTTTGCAGATGTGGATGAATGTGCAGACAAGTCCCGGTGCTCGCAAGGCCAGTGCCTGAACACAGAAGGCTCCTACAGGTGTCTGTGTGAAAATGGGTTCAAACACTCCCAGGAGACTGATGACTGCGTGGGTGAGAGCTCATCGCTGGGGAGATCAGCCCCCTGGGATTTGGGGGGATGGATGCAGCCAGTGCAGGGGGGAGGGCAGTTCTGCTCCCAGCACCCAAAGTCGCTGGTGACTTGTAAGGAGGACTAGCAACGGCTCAGGGCCACTGGCCAACTGAACTTGACCTAGGTGCTGCAGTGAGCAAGCAGGGTCCCCGTCTGACCATCCTCATCTCCTTGCCCTCCTCTCTGCAGACGTGGATGAGTGTAAAGAATACGGGGATGCCATCTGTGGCACGTGGCGGTGCCAGAACAGCCTGGGCTCCTACCGTTGTATCATGGGCTGCCAGCCCGGCTTCCACTGGACCCCCTTGGGTGACTGCATCGGTGAGTACAGCCCCGGGTGTCCTGGTCCCTCCTCCTGGCAGGGACAGGGTGGCTGTGGGACATCTCTGCCAGTGGCGCGGGGGAGAAGGAGGAGGAGAAGGAAGCGTGTGGCTGGTGGAGAGGCAGATAATGCTGAGAGTTTGTTTTCTTGGCTGAGCTGCCTGCTCATGTCTAGACTTCTCTCTTCCTGGCATCTGGAACAGACACCGCATTGTGCTGCTTTCCGCTGGGGGAGAGTCCTGGGCAGGTTACAGCCATTCCACGCTTGGGGCTGGACCGCAGCTCCCTGTAAGTTGTGCTTGCTGGGGCTGCAGCCTGTGCCAGTCACCTGCCTGGCAGGGCTGGGTGAGGGGAAAGGCTGCTGGTATCACTGAGTGCTAGGCTGGGAAGCCTGGGTTTGGAGTTCAGGCTCCAGCAAAGAGGAAAGAGCAAAGGGGTTTCCACAGTTTTTGAGACTCCCCCCGGCTCAGGGAAGGCTGCAGCAAGGAGGAGCTGCTGCCAGCTGCTAGGCTGAGAGCTGCGCCAGGACTTAGCATGTGGAGCTGCTCGTGGCCTTGGGAACAGTGGGCTGTGGGCAAGTGGCTGCTCTCCCTGCTCCAGGGAAATCTGCCCCATTCGGTGGTAGGAGGGGAGCAGGATGCAGCCAGCAGGGCTGTAAACCTCCCCTCCGTAGGCAGAGGACCCAGTTGTGACTGTCCAGCCCCACTGGGCTGGGACAAGGCAGAGATTGCTCCCTGGCACTGTAGCAGTTGGAGAAGGACCAGGTCAAGAAGAACAAGGCAGGAGGGTATCAGCCTACATCTGTCGGCACTTGCCACACACACTTCAGTTCTACCCTTATTATCTCCTGCTGATGTGAGCCTGTAGGCTCTGTGTCCCTTTACGCCTCTGCAGGGACCTGCGCTACCCTCAGTTGCCCCTGCCAGCCACCTCACACACTTCCCATCCATTTCCCATTCCCACCCTGCTCCTGTCACTCTGTCCACATGGCCTCTCTGCAGCTCTGGATGTTGCAGGAAGCTTCTCTTAACACGCACACTCAGCAAGGGAGTGAGTGGGGCAGCCAGACCCAATCCCTCACATCAAGGGAATGCCTGCTCCATCCCTGGGTCCTGGGGTCAGAGCAGAAGCGCCTGGGCAGGGGGGGGTCCATTGGGAGAGGTGGGGTCTGGGGCAATTCCTGCTCTCCGCTCCGCTGCAGACATAGATGAATGTGCCAACGAGACACTGTGTGGGAGCCACGGCTTCTGTGAGAACTCGGATGGCTCCTTCCGCTGCCTCTGCGACCGTGGCTATGAGAGCTCGCCCTCCGGGCACTACTGCATTGGTGAGTCTCCCGCGATCGCTCTGCCAGTCAGTGGGGGAGAACCATTGGCAGATGCCAGGCTGGTGTCCCCACTGTGTGATGGCTCCTGGGGCATGGACAGGGACTGCATCCACTCATGGAGAATCCCAGACATGGACAGGGTAGCTCATGGAGGCAAAACCCCTCCCCTTAGCGCAACAGGTCCTTGTGACTGCAAAGGAGCAAGGCTCTGTGAAAAAGCGAGCGGCTTCTGGTGAACATGGGGCCCTTCTCTGTGCAGGTGGGAAGGAGGTGCTTGGGGGCTGGAGGCACTAAAGGTGCTGGAGAGGTACTTTAATGGGTGCCTGGAGAGAACAGGCAGGGTGTAAATAAGGAAAAACATTTCACCATGAAGACAGGCAGGCAGTGGAACAGATGCCCAAGATGGCTGTGCAGTTGCCATCCTTGGAAGTTTTAAGGACCCAACAAGATAAGGCCCTAAGCAGCCTGGTGGCATCCCATAACTGACCCTACTTTGAGCAGGGGGTTGGACTAGAGACCTCCAGCGGTCCCTTCAGACCTGGATGATCCTGTGATCTAGTGACTCACTGCAAGCTGGAGTTCAGGCTCCTTGATTCCGCTGAGAGCAGGGCAGGAAGCTCTTGCCAGACTTGTGTTGAGCCACGGTGTGAACAGAGCTCTCAGCTCATCCCTAGCAGCTTCCATCTCCCTGCTGAAGGGTGACCCCATGCTGCAGACCACGCACAGGCTGCCCATGCAGAGGCAGGGCTCCAGCTGCCACTGCTGCCCCTTGCTTTGCAGATGTGAATGAGTGCGAGTTGATGGTTGCCGTGTGCGGGACTGCGCTCTGCGAGAATGTGGAGGGATCCTTCCTCTGCCTCTGCCCCAGCGACCACGAGGAGTACGACACAGAGGCAGGGGAGTGCCAGCCCCGAGCAGCCATGGGTGAGTAGGCAGCTAGGACAAAAGCATGGGTGGCAGCTAGAGCAGGAGCGTGGTAGCCCTGGCTGGGGTGAGATAAAGCTGAGGGGCTGCCAGGGCTGTACAAGCCCACACAGGCATGGGCAAGCTTTCATCTGGGTAGAGCTGAGGAGCCTGAAAGCGGGGACCTGGGAAGGCCACGCTGCCGGTGATAGGTGTGCTATGGGACCTCCTAGGTGCGGGATGCTGCGTTGGGGTGCCAAGGACCCCATCCCGTCCCTGCTCTGCTGTCTTCTAGAGGGCCCTGAGACACACGCAGCCCACCTCTCTGACAGCGCAGAGCGCAAGCAGTGCTACTACCACATCAGTGACGTTCGCCTGTGTGACAGCGTCCTGGCCAAGAATATCACCAAGGAGGAGTGCTGCTGTACTGTGGGGGCGGCCTGGGGTGACAACTGTGAGACTTACCCCTGCCCCATCCCGGGCACAGGTAGGACTGTGGCCCCACCACACCAGGCAAGGCCAGCGCTCTGCCCACCAGCTCCGCCTGGGTTGCACTAACGAGCTGTTTCTTTTCTTCCCATCTTCCCTTGGCATCTGCCTCCTGGCCAGTGGAGTACCAAGAGATCTGCCCTCTTGGGAAGGGCTATGTTCCCCAGGAAGATCTGCTTTCAGGAAAAGTCTCTTTCACAGGTACTAGCACCATTTTCTCTCATTTCTTCCAGGGGACGAGAGAGGGCGCTGTGCAAAGCCCTGCAAGGAGATGCATCCACAGAAATACCTCCCCGGGGCTGTGGTGGGGGATGCTGACATCCTGCTGCTGCTTTCCTCCATCCAGAGAAATCCCAGATTGCCACTGTCACCAAGCTGGACGTGCCCCTTCCTCCAGTCCTGCCTTATTGCTGGCAGTGACTCTCTTCTTGGTGCAAATCTCCCATGCCCATTTCGAACGAGGGATGAGGTCCATTAAGACACAGCCCTTCCAGTTACTGATAGATCTCCCAGTGGCTGGCTGGCTCAGTCTTTGGCATTTCACCTCCAGGGGCTTGTGTTCTCGACCTTCCAGAAACACCCTTGATTTTTCTGTTTGTGAAAGTATCCTGTTCCCCATCATCCCTCCTCCTGCTCTGCCCGTGGGTGCTTCCCCCTCTGCTCCCAGGCATGTGGCCGGTGGGAGAGGCGGGGGGCTTACTCAGGGACCTGCCAGTGATCCAGGCCAAGGTGCCATGTCGGCTTTCTGCGGGCACAGCACCCAGCCCACCCTGCTTGCACGGCTCTTCTCCCTGAGACGCTCTCTCCCTGCTTCCATCCCTCTCAGACATGGACGAGTGTGAGATATTTGGCTCCGAGTTCTGCCGCAACGGACAGTGTTTGAACACGGTGCCAGGCTACAAGTGCTTCTGCCGTACAGGCTACTTCTACGACTCCAGCAGGCTTGAGTGTGTTGGTAAGATGGCCTCAAAGAGCAGTGAGGGCCCCCACCATGCACAGAGGGGCAGCTGTACTGCTGCACCCAGAGTTGTCCCCGCTGCCCACGCTACAGGGCCAGCTCTGGGTGACAGGCTTCCTGGGACCCTCCCAGGGAACGAAAGAGGAGGTGGCAGGGAAAGGGTCACATTGCCCATGTCTGCGAGCCTGAAACATTGCTCTGTCCTTGTGCGTGGGCAGACCAGGACGAGTGTCAGAACGAAGTGTACTGCATCAACGGCGAGTGTCTGAACACGGATGGCTCCTACCACTGCTTCTGCAGCCTCCCTCTCGTGCTGGATGCCACCGGCAACCGGTGTGTCAACCTCTCCATCAGGGCAGGTGAGCCCGAGCCCCCGCCGCAGCACACCTTCACCCCGCACATCCCACCCCGCAGCTGGGTCTCCCGGGAGGGAGCAGTGGGTGGGGGCTTGGTGCCATGCTGAGGGGTGCCAGTGCCAGCACAGTGTGCAGCCAGGGCAGGGGGGCAGGAGCAGGGGCACATGGTCATCCCTCTTAGGACAAGGTGGGGTGGCACTTTCCTGGATGATTTTTATGGCATCCTTTGCTCGTGGCACTCACAGATGCCTTGGAGGAGTATGAAATCCACCTGGACGTCTGCTGGCAGACTGTCGCCGACTACATCTGCCAAGACCTGCTGCATGGCGAGCAGACCACGTACACCGAGTGCTGCTGCCGGCTCGGCGAAGCCTGGGGCCAGAACTGTGCGCTCTGTCCGCACAGGTCCTCTGGTGAGCAGGGCGGCATGGGCAAGCATCCCCCGGCAGAGGTGGGGACGGGCTGGGCTGCTGCCGGTCATGCCAGGCAATGTTGGCTGCGTATGGCTGCTGTGAGGACTCCTCCTGTTGTCTGCATTGCCAAAGCCAGCCCAAGGAATGGGTGAACGGCCCACTTCTCCAGGGCTGAGCTCCACCAGTGGGTAGGATGTACCTGAAACTGGTTTGCAATGAGTCTGAGGTGTCTGAGGGGAGAGTTGCTCTGTGAATCCTGCTGCTCCTGCTTAGCTTAGGAGAGGTGAGGCAGCGGCAGCCCGAGATGGGAGCACACTGGGAATTGGGATTCTCACTGCTCAAGGACTTGCTGGCCCCGGACAGGAGCTGGTCTTCTCAAAGATGGGGTGCTATCAGCAAACTACAGAGCTGCAGCTTTGGAAGCCAGTGAATGCAGGCCTGTCTCAGCTGGCCCGGTGTGGATGCACCCTCTCCGGCCATAGCAGACCTAGCTCTCTTAAGCCAGGCTGCACTGACCCTTCCTTTTCTCTCACTGCTTCCAGCTGATTTTGCTTTCCTGTGTAATGGAGCCAGTGAAGACAGTGAAAGAGGGGCTGAGCTCCGAGAAAGACCTAGGTACGAGTACGGACCAGGCTTGGAAGACCCCCACTATGGCCTTCCCAGCCCAGATATGGGCCCCTACTACAACTATCTGGAGTCTGAGTATGGAAACCCCGATGCTGGTTTCCCTCGGAGGGAACCCAACAGCAGCCCTCTCCACCACGGCCTGGGGCGGTCCCCGCCCCGCTACCTGCCTAGCCAAACTGGTGAGTACTGGGAGACACAGAGAGGTGCCTTCCTACCCAGCCTGTGTCCATGAGGACTGCCTGGCAGCTCCCACCCCGGCCAGGATGCTCCAGGCTTGGAGCAAGCTCTGCTCCTGTCTGCTCTGAGGCGGTCCTGGCCCTACCAGCACCGTCTTGCCACATGCCCGATGTCCCCTCCGCGGCTGGGCGGAGGGTCACCCTGCTCTAACACCGCCTTGCCACTTTCCAGGCCTCTACGAGGGCTTCGAGGGGCTGCAGGCTGAGGAGTGCGGGATCCTCAACGGCTGTGAGAACGGGCGCTGCGTGCGCGTCCGGGAGGGCTACACCTGCGACTGCTTTGATGGCTTCCAGCTGGACATGACCCGCATGGCCTGCGTGGGTGAGTGGTGGCCTGGGCCGGCCCGGGGGCTGCAGCCGGGCCGTGCGGGCAGCCTGGCCCCGCCATCCCTTGGCGGCTGGCCCCCCTCCCCGTTGGCGCCTGCCGCTCTCTGCCGGCGCTGGCCGGGACAGCTGCCGGCGGAGACCCCGCTCCCCCTGCTGCTCCCGTCCCACAGAGCTGGGAGGAACGTCCTGGAGGCTCAGCCGGCAGCTATATCAGGGCACCTCAGGGCATCGCGGGCAGCAGCTGATCGCTCCCTTCTTTGCATAACACTCTTGTACATCACCAACCACTGTTACTCTGTCCCTGCTTACTTTCCTCTATGTTCACCGCTGCCCTGGTGGTGAAATTCCTCACTTTTCACCCTGTCCTACAACACACGATCCCCAAAGCTTCTCTTTGCATCTCCTCTACATCCCTGTGCCATGTCTCCATCCTTTTCACAGTGCAGCTCCGCAAGCCAGCTGAGGCACCGGGCACTCAAGAGAGCAGATGAAGACCCTCGTTTTCCTTAGGCGCGGCACTTACTCCAGTTCGCAGCATCGTCATTGCACAACACAGTCATGCAGCTTCATACAGAACCCGTGGTCTCTGTCTCCCCAAATGCTGCTGGGCAGAATGGCTGCCTGAGCTGTTACACCCTCTCTGCATTTGTGCACTGTTTCCCTTTCCTTGGCCACAGTGCTTTGCACTTGCCTTCAGTGAACTTTGTCTGGTTGATTTTAGACCGCTTCTCTGCTTGATCAGAATGATTCTGAACCCCAGCCCCCCTCCCCCCCGAGTGCTGGCATCACACCCATACATTTCATAATCATGAGGATTCTTCCTTTGTCCACCTTAATGACAACATTGAATGGAGTGGGGGTCAGGACAGGCCCCTGCAGGCTATGCTTTAAATGACTTTTATTCTAACAGCCAGGTATTGCTAATTATCTTTGGAGTGCAGCTTTGCAGCCCATTGTGCAATTGCTGCAGTTTCATCTAGACCATATTTTCGCAGCCTGCTTGAGTGTGTCATGTGAGAGCGTGTTGAAATCCTCACCATGGCCAAGGCACATCATATCCACCGCTTCTCCCTTATCTGACATACCAGTTATCAGGTCAGCGAAGGGAACCAGATTGGCTTAACATAATCAGGCCTTAACAGATCTGCACCAGCTATTTAATGACCCTGGTATCCTTTGGAGGGTTATGACCTAATCACTCACAAACCTGGTCTGCCTAAGGGAATGGGGGGGAGCAGTCTGTAATTTTGGATTCTCCCTTCTCTGTTTTTGAAGCTAGTTACCAGATTTACCCTTCCTTGGGTCTCTGAGACATCCTGACTGCAGGAGCATTAAGCATGTGAAGAGGAGTTGCAACACGGCTTTAGCAATATGGATGTAACTGCTTTATCTATTTGATTGTCAAACCTCTCTATCACAGTATGGTCTTTCCCTCCCTGTGCTCCTGCACCCTCATTTAAACACTACAAAATGGTCTGTGCCCTGTCTGGTCACCACGAGCATTTTTATGATAGCTGGAACAAAGCCCGCATTAGCACTCCAGCCAGTTCGGCTGGCTTTTGTTTCCTCTGCTGATAAGGACCAGACCGACATTCCCCGTTGTTTCCTGCTAACATATTTATGGAGCCTTTGCATGTTGCCTTTCGTGTCCTGGACTAACTAGCACTCATTTTACACTGGAGCCTGTCTTGTTTTTTCCCTTCAGTTCGCCTACGTGGTGCTTAGTCATCCCTGTGTTTTTACCTTGCTGACTTCAGGCCTTTAGAGTACTGCTGCGGCTGCTGCAGTGCTTCCCCTCGCGCCTCCCCAGGGCTACCTTGCCCTCGCCCCGCAGCACAGGCTGCCTGCTCCCGCCCTGCCTCAGCGGGCAGGCTCCAGAGCTTGGTGCGCACTGCTGGTGCGACTCTACCGCTTCTGGTTTTCGGGTGCCTCTGGGCTAAACTAGCCTTGTTTTACTTCTCCTCTCTATTTGGTGGTCTACAGCCAGCCCAGCCTGCCTGCTCTTCCCCCTTTTACCTTTCCCTGGAGCCCTCAGCAAGGCTGCCTCCCCCCACTTCCCAGGCTACGGAGCACATCTCCCTTGATGTGCTGCCTAACATCCCCTCCTTGGGCTTCTGAGCAAACCCGCCCCGTCCATGGCACTGTTCTGGTCCTGAGGTTTAGCCCAAGTCCGCAGTGCCTGTTCAACCATTGCTTTGGCTGCATACAAAGGCTGCCTTGTTCCCCAAGCTCTCTCATCTCACGATTCCCCTCTCCTCCTTCTTTCTCTTCCTCCCACTGCACCTGGAGGTTTTGCTTCCAGCCTCCCTCCCTGGGGTTGCCCTTCCCTTTCTTTGCCAGATGGCCCCCTCCACCTGTGCTAGGGATAACCCGAGGTCCCTGGGGTGGCAGAGCTCCTCAGTCCTCCCGGGGTCCATCAGTCACTGCTGGGGCCTTCGCTCTCCCTTGGGTGGCCAGCTGAACCCACCAGCTGCTCCCCACTCCCACTCCCTGCTGATCTGCATGGGAGTTTGTGGTCAGAGGGCTCAGACCCACCTTGGCAGGTGAGGATTTGGGCTCTGGAGGTCCTGTGGGTGCAAACAAGGGCTCTGGGTTGCACAAGGATGCTCTGCCCAGCTGGTGGCCCCACCACAACTTGGGGTAGCTCAGGCAGGGTGTCCAGGGAAGTGCATTTAGCAGAGCAGACCCGTCACAGCGGGGCAGCTGCTGTAGGGCTCACGTGCACGCTCTAGCCCAGCGGCAAGCCGGCAGAGTGAGCCCTTTGGCACAGTTTGCAGGTTAATAAAACAAGCCCTTGTTTGCGCAGCGTGAGGTCCCTCTGTGTTCTGGTCCTGGAGGTGATAATCAGCCTCTCAGGGCCACCATCATCTGCCTCCTCAGCCTTGTCAGACCAGGAAAGGGCGTTTTCCAAGGCTGGAGGCGGCCTTTCTCCCAGATCTTACGCTAGCGCAAGGTATTAGCAGGAAGCTGCTAACCCCGGGGTGTCACAAGCTGCAGAGCATGGGGGGGTCCTTATCTGGTGTGCATTGCTGGGGGGGGGCTCCCTCCTGTGCTGGGGGTGCCAAATGCTGGGGCTGTCACTCTTGGGGACTGAGGGAGCTCTGTGGATGTGCTGAGGGGTGTGGGAGGCTGGCGGGGTCACAGTGGGCATCCTGGAGGTGCTGGGGGGGGGCATAAGGCACCTGTGGGGGAGAGCTGAGGGGGTGGCAGGGGCACAAAGAGGTGTTGACTGCGGGCTGGGACTGCTTGCTGCGCCACCGGCTCATCCCTGTCCTTCTCCTCCTTGCAGACATCAACGAGTGCGAGGAGGTGGGTGGCCCTGAGCCCCTGTGCCGGGGTGGCACCTGTGAGAACACGGAGGGCTCCTACCGCTGCCACTGCTTGCCAGGCTACATGGCCCTGGCCTGGCCCCACCACTGCGTGCCCCAGACAGCCCAGAGCCCAGCGGCAGCGTAGCTCTAGGGGAGTGGGGGTGAGGGTGCTCCCCTCCGGCACGCAACTCTGGCAGCCGGGACCTGGGAGCACGGAGAAAGGCCCCCCGGGGCTGCGGGTGCTTTGAGGCTCTTCACTCCTTCCCCTCCGAAGCGCACAACTTCCCCGCCACCTCTCTCTACGGGCCAGGGCTGAGCTCCCAGCCTCTGCACCCCCCTCCGCCCTGCCAGCCCCTGCTCCTGCCGCAGCAGAGCCCACCCCAGCCCCCGGCACCCGTCGCATCGCCCCGTGCTGTGGAGGCTCATGGGACGCCTTCCCCTGCCACACAGCCCCAGCCTCCCCCCCTCGCCCTGCCGAGAAAGGGGGTTCATCTCCCTGCCACTGCTGCACTGACCTAGCGACAAGCCTCACCCGCACCGTGGGTGGTGGCCCCGCTCCTCGTGAAGCATCCAGCCCCCAGGCGGGAGCTTTGAGGGGGCAGTCAACCCCAGCTTTCTAAAGCTGCTTCCTAACCTTGGGGCGTGGAGGAGAGGCCGGAGGGGCCCCAGGGCCAGCTCTCCCTGCAGCCAGCCCAGGAGCATCCCGAAGCCCCGCACTTTGCCTTCGTGTCCCATGGCTGGGTTTTTTTTTTTTTTTTTTTAACTGAGTCTGCTGGAAACTTCTCTCATGTTGTTAAATAAAACATTTATTTTGGGCCCCTGTGGCTCAAGACACTGGGGCTGGTCAGAACTGTGCTTGTCTTGCCTCTGCCAAGGGGTACCACAGCCACACCCGCCCTGCGGGTCCAGGCTGGCAAGGGCACCCCACTCTCGTAAGCCAATTTTTACCCCTCTCATGCTGGCACCCAGCCTCCTCCTGCTCCCAAGCCAGAGCAGAGACCCTTGCCAGGCCAAATACTTGCTTATCTCCCCAGCCCAGGAACCAACTCCGGCCCCCGCAGCCAGCACAGCGGTTGCGGCTGCTCACCCCCTGCCTTGTTCTCACACAAGCAGGCTGCAGTTTAAGCGTGAGAGTACGTAAGTTCCTGCAGTTGGCAAGAGCCCTCGGGCAGGTCTGGGAACTGCTTTCCAGCCCCAGAGCCCTCACAAGAAAAGCCTTTACCTAAGCTCCAGCAAGCAAGGCCATGTTCTACACCACCACCTCCTCAGGGAGCCTTTGCACAATCTCAGGCCAGCACAGGACCAGCGAGGCAGGAGCACAGCCAGACATTGCCAGCTGGACACCCTAGCAGGCAGCAGCAGAGACACCTGGCTACTCGCAGGTCATCCACACTCAGGGGAGCATACCTCCTCCATCCATGCCTTCAGCTGAGAAATAAGACCAGCCCAACCCCAACTAGAAGATGGCCAGCCACTCTTGCTTTTCCTCCTGCTCCTCTTCACCCACAGAACACAACACAAGCAGATTTTGTCTAGCCTTTATTAAAAGGAAAGTTATAAAAAGAGGTTCAGGAGCTCCCAACAGCTCCGAGTTAGTAGTAGTGCAAACCATTGGTTAGAGAAAGAATCATCCCTGCAGAGATATCGAACGCCATTTGGCTTTGCATCCACAAAAAGTTTTCCCAGCTGCAGTCCTGCCAGCTCGAGCAGGGGCCCAGGACAGGGCAGGCTGCCAGCTCGGGAAAAGCCTCATCTCCTTCCCTCTCCTTCAGCTGCATGGATGGTAAACGCAGGTCCCAGGGGCATCCCAGTTGCAATGGAGCAGGAGAAGCGCAGGAGGGTGGATGCAGGCGACGTTCTAGAAGAGGCACTGAAGGGTTTCCAGGTAGCAGCTCAGACACCAGCCAGGTTCATTGCAGAGAAATTCCTTTGTGAAGACAGACAGCTCCATTTCAAACAACTAAACCACCTCCACAGAGCAGCTGGAGGATGACGCTCAGTTGCTCCTGCAGCAGACACTGCTCCCCCTTGAGCTGCTGTGGGAATTCTAAATGGGGTAAGAGCCCTCTGCCCGCAGCTGACCTTTCAGGAACACAGTACTGGCTGCTCAGAGACTGCAGAGCTCTGAAGGAAGCAGTAAGAAATGCTTATTATATAAAAGAATTTGGCCTGTGTTGTCTTCTGTTTTTCCCCTCCCCAAGCCCTACTAATGGCAGGGCTCCTCAGCTGGTGATCTGAACTGGTATCTTCCAGCAGAACAACATCTGGTCCTGGTCATCTACCAGCTCCCACTTCACAATCAGTTTTATCTGAAAAAGAGAGAAGAGGGAAATGAGAGCGTTCAGGAAACCGCAAGGCAAGGATGCAGGGAGGTGCTGTTACTCGTGCAGAGCGAGGCGGTCCTGGGAGATCTGCACAGAGGACTGCACTGGGGCATTGCCCCCACTGCAGTAGGTGGGCCACGCTCACGCGGTGGCTCCTGGAGCGTCTTACACGGATGGAGGGTTCTGCTGCGTGACAGAGGAGACTCCCCCACACTGCACTTAGATCCCCACTCTCTGAGTAAGCAGAGAGTGGAAATACCCTGCAGCCTCCCAGCTGAACTCCGCCCTGGAGCCGAGCACCCCCAGTTTGGGAGCATTTGGCTGAATGCAGCAGGCTCTGCAGGGAGGCTACATATGAGCACAGCAGAGAACAGGCAGATATTTGGGCAGCTGAAGCCACTTCTCAGGAGCTGGAGCCAGGCTGCTTCCTCTGCTGGGTCTGTCCCAAAGTGGGAAGTTCAGACAGAGTTATACTCACAGCAGAAGTGCCACCAGATAGTCTGAGGAATCTTCTAACCTCTTCCCCACCACCACAGGACAAGGTGTCCTTCCTTAAAGGCAGGTGGTGGGACTGTCCCAAGAAGGACTGTAGCTCCGAGGAGCAGACCAGCTGCCTGCTTACTTACACTGGGGTACTCGCTCTTCACAGGGAGTTTATTCAGGTAGCTGTAGGAATGGCCCTTCTGAATCGGGCACTGGATCCCGGACTTGCATCCGTCAGGCTCGGGAATGGGAAAGGGTATGTCCACGTGCAGCATCTCGCCGTACACCCTCGCTTTGCTGCCCTGACTATCGATCTCTGCAGAACACGGAGAAGCATGAGTACGGCACCGGAGCAGGGAACACGTTTCTACCCTACACATACCCTAGAGGCTGCGAGAACACAACTGAGCCACGCTCCTCCTCGCCGGCCGCCGCTTCCCAGCCAGCCCCTCTGCAGCCACCCTTCCCCACTCCCCTCCGAGCAGCGGGACACCGGGGTGACCGGCTCCCCGCTGCCCACCCGGCCGGGGAAGCGACGCTTACTGCTGGCGAAGGTGACGTTGATGCTGTAGGATGTCCCCTTCAGGAGCTGGCAGGGCTGCGTGGGGCAGGGGCTCCCGTTCACCTCTTGGGTGCCGCCGCCGTTGGGACCCGGCCGG